GATTGCCAACCTTCCCAACCAGGTGTTTTTCACTTCACTTTGTCTTCTTATGTCACTTGCTTAGGTATAACTTCTAGCGTCACAAAATCGTTGCCAAACACGGAGCCCATTTTACCATAATGGTCGTCGGTACGTCGAGGGGAGTCCTGTAAACTAACGTTTCTTACTCTCTTTGCTCACCTGACAGGGGAGTCCGGACTCGGGAAGACAACACTGATTAACACCCTCTTTTCTACTGAATTGTCTCCGCCTAAAAACTACTCTCGTCGGCACCACAAACAGTTGGATAAACTTACGGAGGTCGAAATCATCAAGGCTGAACTCGAGGAGAAGCAGTTCAAGGTCAAACTCACCGTCATTGACACACCTGGGTTTGGCGACTATGTCAACAACCGTGACTCTTGGTCTCCCATTGTTGAATTCATCGACGACCAACACGAAGCTTACATGCGTCAGGAACAACAACCTCAACGGTCTGAAAAAACGGATCTGAGAGTACACGCATGTCTATACTTCATTAGACCAACAGGACACACGTAAGTTGCTCTACATTATCAAGTTCAAATCATGTCTTGACCTACCTACCCAGTCTCAAACCTCTCGACATTGAAATCATGAAGCGTCTGGGCACTCGTGTCAACTTGATTCCTGTCGTTGCAAAGGCGGACACTTTGACCCAGAATGATTTATTCTTGTTCAAGCAACGTGTACGTACTTTCAAAGCAATCAAAATCTGTTTGGGCTAATTATTTGTCGTCTATTAGATTCGAGATGTCATTCAAGCTCAAGGTATCCGTATCTATACCCCTCCTATTGAGGCTGACGATGAGGGTGCCGACCACGCCCGCGTATTGACCGAGGCGATTCCATTTTCCATCATCGGTTCGACCGAGGATGTGCAAACTGCCGATGGGAGAGTTGTCAAAGGGCGTGAATACCTTTGGGGTGTTGCTGAAGGTTCGTCCACCTGATACTCCTCTTACGTCCTTGCAACTTATCTTCGAAATGTGTAGTCGAGAATGAGGCGCACTGCGACTTCAAAAAGCTTCGCTCCCTCCTCATTCGCACACATATGCTTGATCTGATTTCGACGACCGAAGAGTCCCACTACGAGAATTACAGACAGCAACAAATGGAGACTCGCAAATTCGGGGAACCGAAGGTTAAGAAGCTTGACAACCCCAAGTTCAAAGAAGAAGAGGAGGCGTTACGGAAGAGGTTCACTGAACAAGTTAAAAGCGAAGAGGCTAGATTCAGGCAATGGGAACAACACGTAAGTTCAGCTTCGAAAGTACCTGATCCCGCTGACCTTTCTTGTAGCTTATCGCCGAACGTGACCGCCTCAATAAAGACCTGGAGATGGCCCACAGCGCTATCAAGCAGTTGGAAGCCGAACTGGACAATCTCCAAGTTGGCTACAACCGTGGTTCGGGCAGGCGTTAAATTATGTCCAATGTTTCGTATATACCCCACCAAGACTTTTTAGTTTCCATTGACTACTGTACTTGACTTGATACGTTCCCTTTTGGACTAGGATCATTGGTTGCTCTTCCGAATCAAGGTCGCTCGTGTGCCCTTCAGCTTGTCATTCTTTCGCTGTTTACATACATTCTTTTATTTCTTGGAAAATATACTCGTGTTGACAGTGTGTACGATGCTATTACAAGGACAGATCAAGTTGTCAGCCTCTACTTGTGTTATCCGAATCCGACTCCGCATCTGCGTCTTCTAAACTATTCTCTGTGTCAAGATTTGCAGTCCAGGGCTCATCATCAGGAGTAAATTGGTACACTTCTCTTGATTTCACCAATTCTCTTGACCAATCTCTCTCAACGCGAGGATAGATTACACCGGAAATACGCATTGTCCTCGCCAAAGCAATGCTATCAGTGTGTTCTCGGTAAAAGCTGTCGATTCTCTTCTTCAACGCTTCCCGAGCAAACCCACCCCGAAGTTCATAACCTGCAGCTGGCTCTGTAGGCGGTTGCTCATAACCAACAAAATGGATCGTGATTGGAGTATGATGGTCGCTTATGGCATTTACGAGATCCGTATATTGCGTGGAAGGAGAATCGGTACGATCGACGACAATAGACAAGACCTTGCCTGCGGGAGGATCACGTAAAAGCAAACGTTCCATCTTCTTGACCATATCCATAGCTTGGACGCCTGTTCTAACATCATCGTTCATCTTGTCCAATGCAGGCCATGGAAATTCAGGAACCTCGCCAATAGGGCGACCGTTGTCATCTAACTGGTAGATCAAAAATGGGGATTTGCTCTTCTTGTCTTTTCCTTCAAAATCAGATTCGTAGACCTCTGTCACCTCCTTCTCCGCAAGAACCTTGAAGCTCTCCGTGAGCTCGTCCGAGAGAGGATACCACTGTCCTATACCGACTCCAATGACCCGCTTGTTCCAAGGGATCGGCTTTTCCAAACCCTCACCATCGATACCTCGACCACGAGAATGTTCGTCAAATCTGACGCCAATAGGTCCGCCACGGGCACCAGCGAGCAATTGAGCCATTTCAATAGCAAGAGTTCGCATGCGGGTGACACGCAAAGATCGAAGACGACCAGCAAACGATGCCTTTGACTTGCGGTCGTCTGGTGGAACTACACTGTAAAATGGTTTACCCTGACTAAGACCGCGAGATAGACGAGCGAGGGTTTTGGCAATAGGACGGGTGGATACAGTAAGGGAAATTAACGGACGCCAAAAAGGCTCATCCTTAATGAACTCGAAATACTCTTTCCTCAAATGATACACATCTTGAAAATGCTTCTGAGGACTGCCAGAAGGAGCAACGGTAGACTTTACTTCGTCTGCATTGTGTATATCACCCGACGCGAAGGTTGGCCACCTTTCTGGAGCTTCCGGGGCCTCACCGGAATTGCTATTCTGACCTTTCACGACAGATGTACGAGCATCGGATTCGCCGCGACTCATGCGTGCGGTGGGAGGAACGAAGCCAGAAGGATGTTGCATGGGTTGTGCGACTGCATTATCGTGCACGCCATGAATTTCGGTAGGAATTTTCGCGTCTCTGGGTTCTGTGGCAGCGGAGACACCTCCGGAAAGAATTCCGGAAGTAAGAGTAGACATAAGTCCGCCCTCTTGATCCTTGCGCTCTTTGAGAGCTTTCCATTGTTCGATTCTGGGAACCAAAGAATCCGAATGGTGTTCATTGACTGTTTCCATCTGTCGACGACGCAGTTCGGTGGCGACTCTGGAATGGGGATGAGGTGAGAGATGATACTCGGGATCGTACTGTTTGTCTGCGGGTGTCGGTGGGACAAAACCACTAGGGTGCGCAACAGTACCATCTTCGAACTCGAGCTCGAAGGGAATCTTCCCTTGGAGTGGTTTGATGTCAGTCGCTATATTTGAAAGTTGCTGTTCTTCTGAGACACGTGCGGCTACAGCAGCGGTCTGAGCTAGATGCCGACGAAAGTCCTTTTTCGCTTTGAACTCCTCGTCATCGTTGTCCCGGACAGCCTGTTGAAGGGCATCCTGAACAGCCTGCTGTCCAAGAGACGGGGGACTGTATCCGAGATCATGAAGAGCCTCCAAACGTTCTTCAGCTGAAGTCCACCATTTTATAGACCGATGTTTCTTGGGTGTGAGCCACGGCCAGCGAGCATTGTCCATAAGCTGCTTGCAGTCGTGGGGAGTGGATCTTGAGTTGAACATTTCGAGAACAGCTTCAAAGTCACTAGCTCTACACACTGCGACGATATGGGCAGGTGAGTCTGTGCGACCAATCTCGTATTTGATATCGTATCGAGACTCGAGGAGAAAGACGGTGTGTGGTTCATAGGCAAATGGTGAAGGCTCTTCGTATTGTTTGCCTTCGGAAACATAAGAACCACCTGGCCACCAGTGGGAAGCACGAATATCCGTAGGACGGGTAAAACCACCCATATATCTAGATTACATAGAATATTAATATATGACCAGTAGAAGTGAAGAATGTTGACGCACGTCCTAACGGGAGTCAGCGCGGTGGTCAGATCAATACGCTCATCTCGTTCAGCCTTTTCAACACGACGATAGTGAATTTTTAAAGCTTCCTTGTTGGTTATGGTGGAGACATAACGAACGGAAACGAGCTGGCATGGATTCTTTGAGCGCAGCATCTAAATGTAAGGAAGAAAGGTAAAAAGAGGTGTTCACATTGAAATACCTGTGGAGTGGAGATTTTGCCGACAAAGTATCCATGCTTTCCCACAGTTCTTTACTCAAAGTCACAAAAGTATTTTGTCAGGACTTTTCAGCTGTCCTCTGAATCCTTGACTAAATTCTGACTGCTATCTTAACGTTAACCTTGACTGGAAATTGCAGGCTTTCTTTAAGCTTGCTTGCGAGATTTTTGCGGCCCAATGCCTGTGGTTGAAATCACAGTAAACGAGCAAGCCCCGATAAGCATGATGTATTTCACGCCTTAGATTCCAAAAAGGCTCTTGGAGGCTCTTGGACGTCGCTCAAAACGCACTTGAAACGCGTTATTCCTAATTTCTACCCGCTTTCTCCAATGTCATACGTCATCACATCAAGGCTTAGGCTAAGTGGCACCAATACTCCCTGTTTCCTGTTGTTATCTTTTTATCCATGGTCAACAGAGGCGTTGCTCTCGTTACAGGTGCTGCAAAAGGTGCTGGTAGAGCTATCGCCCTCAGACTAGCTTCCGAAGGCTTCAAAATCGCAGTCCATGATCTTCCCCGCAACGGAGAACAGCTACTCGATGTACATAGAAATATTCAGAGGCTTGGACAACATTCTGTTGTTCTAACTGCAGACTTCACCGACGAAGATCAGGTAAAGAACTTGGTAGAAGGCACCACGAAATGTCTCGGTGGACTCGACGTTGTGAGTTCTTTGTTCTCCAACAAACTAGAATTAATATCAATGACACCCAGATGGTAGCTAATGCCGCGGTGCGAGAAGCTGCCCCCCTCACTTCGAGTTAGTCTCTGCTCCACGTCCACTAGCCTCTTTCTCATTCATCAACAGCTACCGCCGAATCCTGGAATCGGATATTCGACGTAAACGCTCGCGGCCTTTTCTTCTGCTACAAGTACGCCGCCCAGCAGATGATCTTACAACGGAAAGGAGGACGTATAATAGGAGGTTCCTCTACTTGGGTGGAAAAGGGTATGGATGACTCCCAATCCTAGTTCCCCCCGAATCATTGCTAAATTTAAACAACTCAGGTGGTTCTTTCATGAGCGCCTACTCCGCTTCTCAGTTTGCCGTCCGTGGTTTAACAGAAAGTGCTGGTACGTCTTTCAACATCTCCTAATGATACACCTATAATTCATGCGCATTGCGCCACCACATAAAGCATTAGAGTTGCATGAACACGGCATTACTGTAAATTCCTACGCCCCACGTTCGTTTCCTTTCCTTTCCCACCTCCTTATCTACCCAACCAACCTCTTTCAATATGCAGGCCAGATCTTCCACGAGGCCAATCCCGAAGTAACACTCCCGATGTTGAACAGTAATAATTCATATATCCAATCGTCAGCAAGGGTGAGCCCTCCAGCCTGAATCTGTACCCCTCCATTAGTGTAATGATGGCCTTCAAAGCCTGAGGAAGGAACTCTGGCCCATCGCAATGCACCACAAGCGATCGCTCATCTCGTTTCTTACCTCGTTTCCGAAGAGGCGCACTACATTACTGGTACGGACTTTTTATTCACACTATTAATATATCACTATCTGCTTACGCATCCAAACAAACAGGTCAATGTGTACGTTTTTGAACAGTACACAATCATTTTATCCTCCTGATCTATTTCCACTGCTCCAGATCGGCATAGATAGGCATAGAGCAATATCTTCTCCTATAAATGAATCACGAAATGGAACTGGCGAGGACATGGATGGGACAAACTAATCTAAACTGTAATGTAAGCCGCCGTCTAATTGCGACATGCTACTACCGTCATTTGTCTTTCTCGTCGTTCTCAATTGCGCACTTCTTCCACGGAACATGCACATATGTAAATCTTTACTATAATTGACGGAAATATTCTATTATCTCGCATTTTTTTCGTACATACAAACACTCATGCGCATGCCATTCCATCCAAAGTCAGTACTTCGATAAGACAACGCGAGAAATTGTCGGCTGGTATACATAAGGATTTCACGACTTGGTCTCTAATGCGTACCATTGACCTCCCCTTTTACTTGGCTAAGAGCCTCGTCAGCCTGCTGAAGATCGCGCTCAGTAAGGCTATTGAACACTCCCCCGCCTGGAGTACTAGCTCCGCTTATTACAGAATCAGCCCTGGAACGAACTTTCATCACAAGGGGGCTATACACATCGGAGCGATGAGCGAACAGAACTTTCCACTCCAAAAAGAAAGTGACTGGGAAACTCACAAAGGATAAGAGTCTTCTTCGTCCTCCGCCGATGAAGGCCAACCATAACCTCGATAATCGCTGGTCTTCAAAGACTGCATCTAAACATTTCACAGATCAGGACCGTGACTCTGAATGCAATTGGTTTGGAAACACACCTCTTCTGTCAACGTGCCAATATCACCTGGAGTTGCCATACCCCTCAATCTCGGACTGGCAGGAACACTCATTGGAGGCATTCTTCCAACACCACCACCGAAATAATCTTCTTCTCCCTCCGCATCAACGATAGGTTCACCGTCCGGCCCGTAGAATTGATCTGGGTATGCTCTCCGCAACGCCAACTGCCGGGCTTTACTATACTCAATTCCAAGGTTCTTCCAATCCAAGAGAGGACTCAATCGCTCGACACGGTTGCGCTGGTTGATTCGTTGACGACGCGTCTTGTTGCAGAAAGAGAACATGTAGTCAGTGAGCTGGTTGACGGAATCTTCAACAGATTTCATCCGACGGTCGACGATATAACAACCCTCATCTTGGGGACGTTCAATAAGATCTTGCAAGAAACAGCCGAAACCAGACAAGTTCGTGGTAATGCTTGGAATTCCCATCTAGAGTCACTTTAACTGAGTTTTGTTCAAAATAAAAAGGGAAGACCGAAGAACCCACTACTGTGCATTCTGCCGGGGTATATCCCCATGGCTCATAGTAACTTGGGAAAACCCCAAGATGGCAGCCGCGCACAAATTCCTCATAATCTAGGCCCAAGATTGGATTGTTTGAGTTCAGAAAATCAGGATGGAAGACGATCTTGACACGATCATGGTCGTGATTGAAGAGCTTGACCCTTCTTATCTGGTTCAATATGGGATCGTTGGCATCATCGACCATGTTGTGAGTTGTGATTGGAGGAAGTGAGTTTCGTTTGAGTGCGAAGATTCGGCGCTTCAGAAGTACAAGGTCTTCTGAAGAAAGCAATTCTTCCGGAGTGGGAGCGACAGTCTGATCACTATGATTTTCTTCAGCATAGGCGTCGGAGCGATTGGTATGCTGTGACTCACCCATGAACACGGGCAGCATGCTCGAATAGACGGGCTCCAACGCGATTTTGGATCTCTGTCACAGTGTCGCGGAGTTGTTTTGTTACTGCTTGGCCCTTCAAGGCTTCGATGGTGTACGAGTTCGTTGCGGCTGGCATGATGATAAAGGCGACAATAGTCACAGTTGATCCAGCTTTTTGAAGGCGGTAGTTGAGGCCTTGAAAGCCGGTCAGTACGATACAAAAGAGTGAGCATAAAAGCACATACGGGCTAAAGACTCGATGAACATATCAACACCCTTGTTACGGTATTCGTAACGACCTGCAGTAAACATCTGAAAGACTTTGAGTTCCAAAAGATGATTAAAAGATGGATACTCACATAAAGTGTGTTCTCTAGATCAAAGTCATAATGACCGTAAAAATGGCCTCGTACAAATTCATTGATCTTCGCCTTGCTCGTGGAATGGAGATTCTGGAATTCGTGCATCGCCTGAAATTTAACTACGTTGAGACCGTTCGGAACTACGCCATCGGGTTTTCGTTTGAGGAGATGTTCCGATTCATATGCAGTGATGTGGGAGACCGTTGTAAAGACATCAGCACAATGCGTGGCACTACGCTCGATGCAATACCGATGATAGATACCCCGCTTCCCGGCTTCGTGGTCTACATCAAAATATTGCAGATTGTTATAAAAATCAACCGAGCCTGCACATAAGTAGCGTCCGAGAAGCGTAGCATGAGTGGTGAAAACAGTCGTCACGTCAATATGCCTCTTCCTGCACAGGGGAATAGCAAGGCCAGCTTGCCATTCATGAAAGTGCGCCACTACGGCTTTATCCAACTGACGAGACACGTACTAAACAGAATGAAGAATCAGGAGGTGACGCGTCATGATAGGCAACATATATCAGGGCTAATACGTACGTCTCCGAGAAACCAAGCAACTAGATAACCAAAAACAATGGTCTCATTCGTCTCATGATCATTGGGAGGACTGGGTATTCCGGCGAGGTTCCACAAGTCACCCTTCCACTCGTCTAATTTATGGTACATGCTGCCGGTGTCGAAGAGCAAAACATGGGGTGCGCCCTCGATGAGCCATCGTCCGTATAAAGCTTTGACACCCTGGGATCTCATGGAGTCTAGTGCAGCAGCGAGATGAGGGTCTGTAGGTTCTTCGGATTCTACCTCCATTGGCGCGGTTTTGTAACTGAGGGGTCCAATAAGGCAATAACGGTCGCCATACTCTGAGACGGTGACGGGAACTTTGGTTTTTATGACAGTATAGATACCGCCGACCTTATTGGCGACTTCCCAGGCACATTCAAAGAGCAAAGAGTTGCGAACGTCGCGTTTGTCCGACATTGGAGAGTGGTGGTTGAAGACAAGATGCGAAATTATTATCAACGTCCAACCCAGGAACGGAGAAGCGTCGACGTCATGAATTGCTTACCTCAGCGATATATCTGCAACGTTCGTAAGTTGGAGCTTTCGATCAGATGTAGATAGAAATTAGAATCTCAATACACGGCGCTAGTATGTACTATGTTCGCTGCAAGGTATTCTCGTTTTCAATGAAGCTCATGTGTTTTATCGGATCATTACTAGTTTAGAGAGGTAGTGATCACAACTTTTCATACGGTAACAAGTTCATCGATAACGTGGTATCGACCAATACAGGTTTGCCAAGCTGTCAAACGGCCTCAGCTTTTTTGCTCTTCAGATGACTTTGGCTTTGGTTTGCTAGAGTCGGCGGAGATATCCCACCTCCCAAAAAATAAACTTCAACATGAATCAGAATCGCGCAAATTTAGATACATGGTTGTGCCACTTACTCAAATACTGCCATGGTAGTCCACTTTCGATTGTCTGCCTCAGGAAATACGAGCGAACGGGGACCATAAAAGACCTGCAAATCAGGTCAGAGAAAACTCGGGAAATGGGAAAGGATTGATTACCTCATCGTCAACCTCATCTTGCTTTCTCGGCAAACAATGCAAGAATCTCCAGTCGGGATTAGCTCCTCCTTCTTGACACAAAGCTTCTGTAACTTGGTATCCTTGAAAATCTTGAAGCCGCTGTGCCTTTTCCGCTTCTTGTCCCATAGAGATCCTAGGAGGGGCGCAAGAATCAGTGCACAAAGAAAGATACAACGACTGAAACCAATTACCAAGTATCAGTCACCACGACGTCAGCTCCTTTCACGGCCTCTTTAGGATCTTCTCCCCACCAGATACCTTTGTCACATCCGAGCTCTTCTACTCGCTTCCAAACTTCAGGGGGAGCCCGATACTTGGATGGAGTAGCCACCCTAAGCGAGTGACCGAGTCGTGGATAAGTCACAAGCATGTCATGCAAAACATTTGCACTGTCCCCAATATATGAAATAGTGAGGGGACGAAGCTCTGGTAGAGACATAACTTTCTCGCGTTTACGCGATTTGACAGCGGTTTGCATGTTTTTATATTCTAAAGTACTATCAGCCTGAGAGTCGGGTTTTGCAAAGAGATGCGAATGTTCATGTAGAGTGAGAAGGTCCGCGAGTATCTGAGTGGGGTGCCACAGAGAAGACAATGCATTAACGACCGGGACGGGGGAGTATCTTGCGAGCTCCTGGACACTGATTATTTCAGCCTTTCCACTAGCAAAAAACAGAACGTTCCCACCTCAATCTCTTCGTGTGCACCAACGCGAGCAAAGATTCCTTCAGTCATCCCGCCAATTACACGCGCTGTATCCCTAGGTGTTTCATTAACACCCAGTTGAATGTCCTCTTTTCCGAGAAACAGCGCGTTGCCACCTAACAAAGATACACTTGTCTCTGCAGCCAGTCGCGTTCGCGTGCTTCTTTTCGAAAAGAGCAGCGCGATGGTCTTACTAAAGAGAGATTGCGAAGGCATCCTGAGCTGCGTTTTTTTCGTAGGCTTGTGGGATTGGGGCTCTAGCCATGGCTTCGAAATTTGCTTGCAATAAAGCGAATGTGCAAGTAGGCGGTTAATTTGAGGGACTGAAAGGTCCGCCAAAGTCATTAGATGTTGTTTCGCGGCCATGAGACGAGGAAGGAAAGAATAGTTAGTCGACTCGTGCTCCGAGGTTCTGAGTCACAGTATTTCTGAAGAAAAACGCGTCTCAATCACGTGGTAAGCATTAACGACCATTGTAATTAATTACATCGACGATGTGGATAGCACAAGGTTTCTTTGATCAAGACCCAGTTCAAGCTACAGAAACTAGTGAGCATCTGTGTGTAGAATCTATCACCTTATTAATCTTGCTATACAGAATCGAGGGTTCTGAAGCCAGGATGCAATGTTGCCATAGGCAGAAAGAATCAACCACTCATCATCAACAGCAAAAAGATTTCGGCTGAGCATTGCGTGCTCAGCGTAGGAGACTTTTCACTGGAAGATGTTGTGAGTACCCTCATTTGCACTTGCGTACAAACACTTTCAAACCCACCGTATATCCAGCGGGATCCCGAAAAGAGACCTACACTACAGGTTTTCAACCCAAGAGACAAGATAATGTCGGTCCGCCGAAATGGAGAATTGGTTGCTCTCAATAGCAAAGCAACTATGGACCTACAGTCCGGTGACGAACTTGGCCTTGCTAATGGCATCATGGTGCTGTATGTCTGAATTCTTCCTTATTCATGATAACTTTTTTGAATGTTCTTCCGTCTCAGTGTCACTTGGCAGCTCACATGCTATATATCACATCCAACCCCTTCCATTATCTCATCCTGCGCTTCTTTGGGCATCAGCGCCCTCACAAACCCACATCCTTCAGTAGACTATCATATTATAGGCGCGTACTCCTTCAGCCCTGAAATCGGGACGTCGCTTCTATCTCGATGTAATTTTGTCAAGCTCGAATGGCTGGAAAAGGTCATTGAGCTCTGTAACAAATCTAACACTCAAGACTACATTCCACCTCCACTTTCAAAGTATCGACCGGCATTCTCCCCTTCCTTGGCTCATCAATATAAAAACTTCAGTATTTGGGAACCAGATCAGAGGAGGAATGAGCTTTTTCATGGTCATCGCTTCCTCTGCGTCGCCGAAAAGGACAATGACATTGATAGTACTCTTCGAGAGTTCGTTGCGAGAGGTTCAGGGGCCATACAGACTTTTTGCGTCTTTAATGGAACCTTGAAGTGGCGGGAAGCGTTGAAACGAGGAACAGCCAAAGATGCAGTTTTGGTTTTAGTAGCTGATCAAGCAACCGTCACCGCTGCCTTTGGGGAGACCGGTTGGCAAGATTTGTACGAGGAAGCTTCTAGGTACATTCTTTTATTTGTCAATTACGGTCGTTCATCCTCCTCTAGGTACCATAAACGTTTTTTCTCGACTCTGGATCTCATACAAGCTGTCTTAAATGCGGATACGGCCATATTTCGGGTTCCAGTTGACGATAACTCTCAAAATCGAAAAGGTAGAGCGCCCTGATTTTCAACGTTCCTTTTTTTGCTTATCAGCATCATAACTAGATGACTGTGGTTCCTCCCCTCTCCCAGATTGTGTTCCAAATTCCATACCGGATGAGATGACCGTACCTCCACCCCAGCCTGAGGCAGAACGACCTGCTTCCCGGAGACGCGCCCCGTCTCGTCAGCCATCTGAGGAGTCTACTTCTCAACCTCATAAAGTCAGAAGCTCATTAAATACAACTTTAAAGGAACAAACTCACAGTATTTTACCCAGCCTCTTACTCGGCGGCGTGCACCCTCCCAAGAATCCAACTCACAAACCACTCAGTTGGAGGATGATCCACCTCCACCGCCTCGCAAAGTAAAAGGAACTTTATGTGCAGTGACCTCTAGACTAAATCACTTTTCCTCAGCCTCTTACGCGCAGGAATGCCCCATCGGAAGCGCGCAGTTCACAACCTGCAGAAACTCAGGTGAAAGATGATCAACCCCCGCCACCCCGCAAAGTCAGCACGTTGAATCAAGTATCTTCATTGAAGTCGCTCATCTCTCTCACAGCCTCTCACACGCAGGGTGAAAGCAGGAGTCCCTGTCTTGTCAGGTTTGGGTGATTCATCAGTCATCATAAATGCAGCTGTAGCAGCTTCCGATCTATCCAAACCCGATTCTCCAGCTCCCATTGTACCCATGATTCTGGACTTGACAGTACGTTGCTCAAAAGGATAATATCAACCTTCACTAACTCACTCTACCAAAAGGCGCCCGTACCCCCACGTCCATCGAATTTGAAGAGACGCCACGGAGGAGATAGTGCTCAATCCAGCTCTTTAGCTGCCAGCGAGCCCTCCGAAGAGCCTGTGCTCAAAAAGTTCAAAGCTCTTTTTGAAGCTACCAATGATCCAGAGCAAGCCGACGTCCTCATGAGTCAGCTTCCGGTCGCTGACGAACCCCCATCACAAACACAAACTCAATCGGAAACCCGTGTCAATTCTCGGAAGACTACTGTCACTGCTCATCAGACATTAGATACGATATCGGAAGATACTCAGGAATCTCAGACCACGAATTCAAGCTCTACGAACCCCAAGGGCAAAAAGCGGAAAATAGCCGCCGACAATGATGACATAATCAGCGTTGAGGAGGCGCTTTCACCGACAGCTTCCAAATCTCGATCTAGCTCTGCCGCTCCTCCTTCCAAGAAACGGGCCATCGAAAAAGTCAATGCCGTTGAACCCAGCTCACAGAAGCCGTCTTCTACTGCGAAAATTGTGAAGGCTTCGGGTGCACTTCCTGGCAAACCCGATACCGACCCTGTCTTCTTGAAGGCCGTGACTTCCACTAAGCGAGGAAAAAAGGCTGAAGACGATTTCGACCGGGAGTTCAACAAATTGAAAATCTCCAAGCCAGAATTGGATCGCAGCAAAGAAAACCCCGAGGATCAATGGGCCATTTTGGATGATTTTGGTAATGATCGAAACATTCGAGGAAATTTCATGGTCATTGTCGAGATGGATGTCTACAAAGATCGCTTTCCGGATAAACGAGCTGCTGCAAATAATCCAGAGTGGAGGGGCCAGCCCAACTTCAAGAAATTCAACCGCGTGGGCAGTTATAATATGTCTTTGATTCATTTTGATAATCATCTCACAGGAGCATATTCGGCCAAAGTCGAGGAAAATAGAGCTTGTGGTTAGCGAGAATGCTGATCATTTAGAAGGGGGTGAGATGTACTTCATAATAAGGCTTGATGGGATGCTCAAATATCAATAGATTGGAAAGAAGATCTCTCTAATCTGACTCAAAACCCTCATCTAGGTGGTTTGAATCAAGATTTTACCCAGGGAGCTAGACCGTTCCGTTCCCAAAGTCGACCCCTCTCGGCCGACGATTCAGACGATGAAATCACTCTCAAAGCTCGCAAGAAATCTTCGGAAGCTAGGAGCAAGAAAGCTGCGACGGGACGCGGAACTAAATCATCAGTAAAATCACAGCCGCTGTTTCTGGATGACGATGACGACGACGACGACCCGTTCAACGCGAAGCACCACGATTTCTCAGATATTGAAGAAATTCAAGAAGTGGACCAGACTTTGCCCTCCTCATTGGACCTGACAAAACGGCAATCCCGGAGAGCTGCGAGGTCAAAGAAGCCCATCATTTTAGATGATGATTCAGATGAGGATGCGTTCAAGGGATTCAAAGGACGAAAACGCAGATGAAATTCCATTTTTTCGAGGTTCCTTCTTTCGTAGCCTCGTATCGCCTATTTCGAATTATTTCAAGTAATCCAATGTTAACCAGTCTACGCGACCATGCTCCTCCATGCTCCTATATCTATTTAGGAATATTTCGCTATTGAAATGCTATTCCCGCTACCTCTTTAGAGGTTGAAGGGTCTTCTAGAGCGAGCTTTTTGATTTTGCGATCAAATGGCTCACCACGTGTATTTTAGTAAACACTTTTTAGTCATTTTGTAAACTTACTTCTACATGCCTCTACGATTTATTCTCTCTTCTATGAGATTGACAAACGGTCTTTTGTTTTATTTATTCTATGTACTGTAGTGTTTACAATGTATGCTAATTTTGTTTATTTTACTGTAGATGCTTTTGTCAATGGCACTCTTAGGGGCACTGGAACCCAATACGGCCATATTGTTAATGTTAGTTCAGACGCATTCGCTCGCTCTACAACTGAAATGTAATAACAATAAAACCAGACCATTGACTGGGTAGCGGTCCCTGCCGCTCGCCGGTGCTTCTTGGTTATCTTTCGTAAGAATGTGATCGAGAAACGGAGGGGACGGATGGCCCTCGGAAGTTATCCCGATCCCAGAATATATAGAAGTTCTGCAATCCCGTACTTGCACCCAAACATGAACATCCGCCAAATTCCTCGCATTTCTTTGCGTGATTTCGACACGCGCAGGTATCAAATTGGCAAAGATCTCATCGAAGCCGCTGAAAATGTTGGTTTTTTTATTCTCGTCGACCAGCAGCGGCCCAGTAAGCAAGAGATCGAGGAGATGTTCGCCCTGTCGTACGTTCATCCATAGGCGGGAAGTCATAACAGATCTAATCTTACCAGTACCAAATATTTTGCACTCCCCGACCAAATCAAAGCTCGCTATCCTTTCATTCGCGAACAAAATTCCGGCTGGGAGAAGAACGCCCAGATTCGCCCCTCCACAGGTGTAGCGGATCCCAAAGAATCACTGCAGCTGCAGTATTTTCGGCGTAACAAGTATTGGCCAAATGATTCGTCTGACATTCCGCAATTTCATGAAACGTGCCTGAAGTTCATGGAGAGCAGTCAAGACCTATCAATGAAAATCCTATCATTCTTCGCTGTCGCCCTTGGTTTTCCGCCGTCCTTCTTCTCTGAAGCTCATGATTTGAGCTTGGAGGACTGTCTTTCCACGATGCGGTTACTGCGATACCACGATGTAACTGGCAAAGTATCTGAAATGCCTGAATGGAGAGCAGGTGCGCACACCGATTTTGACGTCCTCACGTTGCTCTTCCAAGAAACTGGGGGAGATGGTCTAGAAGTGTGCCCCGGGCGAGAGGCGCATACCAGTTTTGCCCTAGGAGATGAATGGACCGCTGTCCCTGCTCGAACGGGCGAGATCACGGTCAACATTGGTAGGTTCAATTCTAGGATTTTCGAACTCGCTGCGAAGTCTAAATAAACTATACCTAGGTGATATGTTGATGGCATGGAGCGACGACCGTTTCAAGAGCCTATATCATCGTGTCAAGGCACCTGGACCCAACGGGAATTTGAAAGCAAGAAATAGCATAGCGTAAGGATCCCTTACTAACGTTGTTGAACATTGTTAAGCACCGGGTTCTTGGACAGCTACTTCAACCAGCCACGTCCCCATGTCCGAATTGAAGGGCCCACGGGAAAATACGGGGCATTGACTGCTTCCCAGTATATATCAAATGGTAAGTGCAACAATTTCTGAAAAGCAATCCGTTCTTGAGTCTTTCCTTTTGTAGCCATGGAACGTTATTACCGACCTACGAAAGGACCAGAGTAAAATTTCAGTCTCAATAGCCGTTTAGCGTCGATGACACTATAGCCAATGTAGGGCATTATGAATTTTGAACGTTGTGACTGTAGTTTCCCAAAAGTGAATGGACGTTGGCGAGAGAGAGAGCATGAAAAACTTGAATAACAGTCTTCAGAGAACATATCAGGACCATATCAAAACCATATCACATATTCAAATGCTTCATTAGATTCTCAACATACGCCAGTCTCTCAAACCGTAAAATTGTCAATTGAGATTGATATCTCGAATCGATGGGAAACAGGTTTTACATCCCAAATCTGTCGAGCAGGCATTGAAACTGGAACGACTGGCACGTCAGGCTCACAACCTAAGCGTCCGCTACTATTGTCCCTCATCTTACTTCTTCTTCTTCGCCTTCTTCTTCTTTACACCTCCAGATGTGGGTCCAGATGCAGCGGTCGTAACAGACGATGTTGGACCAGGACTATTTCGGGCAGGAGGGTCAACCAGTTCAGAAGGCGGAGGATCTGGTTGCACAACTCGTCTGTTCTGCATTTTTTCCATCAACGAAATATTCAGAGCTTCAAATCGATTGAGATATATCGATGAATAAGTCTTGAACTTGATACACTACGGCAGAAGCTTGAGGATAAGAGTGATCAGTCGAAGAGTGGTACGCACCGATACATTATCAGTTATTTTCAGCACCAGCTTTCCTTCGGATGACTTCCATTTCACGCAATAACGAGTCTGCAAGCGATCAATGATTTATGAGATGATCCCGGGAGGGAAGTAACAAACCTTGAAGGGAGATTTCTTGTACAAGGCCTCTGCCGCATCCTGGTACTCTTGCCAGGAATTTATATATACCATAGCAGCATTGAGCCAGTGACCGAAAGTGACCGAGCTCGTCGTCAGTTTTCAAGTCTAAAACGTTGCTTACCGGTCAACACGTGGACCTGTATCGGGATCCTGATCCGAATGGAGGCGATCTGCTTTTCCCTACATCGCTATTCCCTCTACCCTCTTCCTCTACCTCGTTCTTCCTCCCAGCAAGGCTTCGGTAAAATTTTCTCGATTCTCGATGTCCGAACAGCCCAAGAAGCGTTAGTCTCAGTGCTTATATCATTCCGATTCATCATTCCGAACGAATTGTTCTCAGCTCTTCCTTTCGTCGCAAACTTTGCTGCTGGTGCCATCGCTGGTGTTTCCGAAATCTTGACCTTTTATCCCCTCGGTAAGTTTTGCCAAAAAATAATATTTTTTAAATTGCCCCTTATATCTGTGTAGATGTCGTACGTGTAACCAACGCGTCTCAACGACTGTTTCTAAGAAGTTTACTAAGGTCAAAACGCGTATGCAACTTTCAACCGAAAAGTCGCAAGGCTTTGTAGGCACTTTCAGAAACATTGTAAAAGAAGAAGGGTACGTCGTATTCCTCGATCACGCGAGCAACATCTCATTAGTCCTGGTCCACTTCACTATGGCATTGTCAGTGCTGGAAGGCTTTACAGAGGTGCACAATTTTATATCGCGATTTACAAGATCACTAATACCTGCGGCCGACACAGGTCTAGTTCCCCCCCTTCTGCTAGAAGCTCCTAAGCGTGCCGTCAAATTGTATATCGCACAACCGACTCTTCCCGAAAGCAGAATTCTAACGACTCAACAGTGCTGCCAATGACTTTTGGGGAAAAACCTATCTTGACCTTTCTGGAGAAAAAAAGATGACACAACAATTGTCCATATTGACTGGATGTAGCGCGGGCGCCACAGTGAGCTACTCTTCCGATGGCGAATCTGCCCAATTTTCATCAATAACTCGTAGGAAAGTTTCGTCGTAGTTCCGTTCGAGTTGGTCAAGATTAGGTTCCGTCGTTTGCCTTCGCCATGTGTAAGAGTATGCCGAAACCCCGCTATTTAGGTTGCAGGATAAGAACAGTACTTATGCTGGTCCAATTGATGTCGTCAAACAAATCATCAAAAAGGAGGGCATTCTCGGAATGTATAATGGCATGGAGTCGACATTTTGGAGGTCAATTCCCAATTTTCGTGTGCTGCTTTTTGACTCATACCATATGCAGACACATATGGTGGAATGGTGGTTACTTTGGATGTATCTTCCAAGTCCGCGCCATGCTTCCTGAGGCAAAGGTGAAATGATTTACGTCTATAACCAGCCATTGTGTCTCATAGTTTGCTTCACTAGACGCAACAAGGAACGCTCTTCAACAATTTCATTTCTGGTGCTGTGGGTGGCTTTGTAGGTACAATGATAAATACACCGTTAGTCAACATTTCGCTTCTGCGTTGACTTTTCTCTACTAAATCTTTCCCCAGGTTTGACGTGAGTCATGTTAGCTACTAATTTTATGCAAGTTTACTCATGGCCCACCAAGGTGGTTAAATCGCGCATTCAAAGTGCGCCAAGGATTCCTGGTGTTGCTCCCAAATACGACTGGACTTATCCTTCCCTGGCTATTATCGCAAGAGAAGAAGGTGTCGGGGCATTGTACAAAGGTTTTGTTCCCAAGGTTTTGCGACTTGCACCCGGAGGAGGTGTGTTATTACTAGTAGTAGAGTTTACACTGGGGATATTTAGACAAAGTATGTGCTGATTCGAGATCTTTCAGGGTTGTGGGTAACACTTACTCTTTCCTAGCCCTAGGCCCGCCGTACATATAGAGACGTTTACAATATGCAGAAATGTTGTACGACAAGGAACTTTTCAGAAAACGGTTTGGGAACACCTTGCATTTATATCTTATTTAGCTCATGTTCAATTATTCTACTGAATTGAGTTATTGTCTGCTAGGAAATAGAAGCAGGCATGCTTGGCACTGTCTGATGTGAGCGAAACTCATTTGTATAGTAGTAACACCGCTGGCGCGCCACATTCGACGGCCATGAATGTTCACTGTTCAGTGGTCAAAAATCGAGATTAACATATCACGAGGTCCTCTGACGCGTGGCGCATACATATCTCTGCCATTTTTCCCACTATGCTGTGGCTCTCTATAACACTCACGTCGAATGGTCCCTGTTCCGTTGATTCACAGACCCTCTTCTCGGCTACTGTGCACCTCTCTTCCACTTGTGTCGCATCATGTCCTCAATCTGCTTCACGAATTATGGCCACACGATCAGACCTTTAATGGTGGCATGAGCATTGTGAAACGAGAACCTGAAGATATCCATCAGAGAATTGCTTTCGCCATCCTCATTCCGTTACTGGTAGGGTTTTCTGGTCTATTCGCTGGTTTGACCTTAGGGTAGGCCATGAAGTTACTCAAGTTCATGCTTGGACTCATTTGGTTTGGGCCAGTTACTTTTCATTGGACTTGATTCAATTGAACGTATTGGCAATGAGTGGTTCACCGTATGTCTTACACGTTTTTTGACATTGTTTATTTACTCTCAGCTCATATCCTGGCCATAGTAAACAGCGAGAATACGCAAGTAAAATTAAACCCATACGCGAAAACGGACATCTACTTCTTGTCACCCTACTTCTGGCCAACATGATCGTGAATGAATCCCTTCCTATAATTTCGACTCCTGTCCTAGGAGGTGGTGTTCAGTCAGTTGTCGTCTCGACTATCCTGATTGTTATGTGAGTTTTTTTTTTGATTTTGGTGTAATGATGCCTATGTCATACCACGCTGGAAAGCTGAGTCTGAGTACTACGAGAGTTTGCACGATATAAGCGGCGACGCGTTTATATATGATGCTCAGTTTCAAAGTGCTCTGTCGGCTGTGACGTCACGCGCGTAGAATCCGGCGGCAGAGCAGCGTGGTTTTTCAAGTACCATTGGAATATAACGGTGAACTTTTTTCTCTCAGATTTTCAGAGATCATACCCCAATCTCTCTTCACGCGTCATGGTTTGTACCTGGGAGCCAAGATGGCCGGCTTTACGAAGGCTCTCATCTACGTATTGGTGAGTACTAAATATTCTCTCAGTGTGGCTCAGTGCACCCAAGCTGACATCATCTCAGGGTATCGTATCATGGCCTGTGGCCAAGCTTCTCGAATTTGTCTTGGGTCCGCACCATGGGATTATTTACCGAAGAGCTGGTATGAATGAGTTTTGCGCATTACATTCACTGATTTCATGTTCACTATAACAGAACTCAAAGAACTTATTGCCATGCACTCCTCTATGGCGACGCATGGTGGTGATCTAAAGACTGACACGGTTACAATTATCGGGGCAACATTGGACTTGCAAGAAAAGGTTGTAAGGCAGGTCCGTAAACGATTCGATATCATATTTTGAACGACCGGTACTCAGTATCCTTTTCACAGGCGATGACACCTATCAACGACGTATTCATGCTTTCCATCGACTCGGAACTCGACTATGATCTTCTCAAGAAAATATGTATGACTGGTCATAGTCGTGTTCCTGTTTATGAAAAATTCGAAATTCCTTTGCACGGGGAAGGTGGTTCAAAGGGAAGAGGCAGAGCGCAAACTCAGGTAGTGAGGAGAATCATAGGCATTCTATTAGTAAAGCAATGTGTTCTGCTTGACCCCCGAAGTTCGTCTATTTTTCCCCCGCTTTTGACAATTTGTTTTTTTACTCAAGCCTTTTCATAGAATCCGTGCCTCTCCGGGAAATTCCCTTGAATAAAGTGTTTTTTGTACCCCAGAATGAATCCTTGCTGGGTATCCTTGATAAGTTTCAAGAGGGCCGCTCACACAGTATGCTAATGCCGTTAACTCTCATCTGCTTGCTTATTTTACTTCCAGTGGCAATCGTGAGTAGGTTCAGTCGCGAAAAGGTTTGCCGTGCTATAATCTTTTGGCTGAGCGCCTCTCACAGAATCTTCGGTACGTAGGCTGCGAGTGTTAAGAAAGCAGTCAAGCATAGTTTGACTCAGCGTCTCCGAGAGCGAGTCATGGGTGACTCGTCCGATTCGAGTGATGATGAAAAGGAGAAAGATCCTAGGTTTGAGAAGAAGTTTCGTCGAAGGCGCAAGATAAAGAACATCGAAGAACGTTCCGAAGACGGCGAGGATACCCTTAAAGGCGAACACACCGACGACTCTACTAGTCGTAGTGTCAGTAGATCGAATACAGCGACAGATCCTAATACTGCAAGTCTCACCGTTGCTGACCTTCATCAGCATATCAAATGTCCAATCGATGATAACGAAGATCGACCAAAAAGCCGAAGGTCAAGTTTTCAGCTATCCAGAGCTGCAGCTGGACTGGCCTCTATCTCAAATCTTGAACAAAGTACGTGGCGATAGTTCATATGGATTCCACTTGTATCTTATGACTCCACCCAAGGTATGCCGGCTGATGCAGTACTAGCCAAAGAGGGGGCGGAGGCGGTAAATTTTCCTCAGTAACATGTATAACAAGACAGTTCCATTGAACTACGGTTTAACAGTTCCTTCAAGGATTTGATCCTGCAATCAGCCCGCTCGGCATCATCACTTTAGAAGACGTTCTCGAAGGTATGGGAAGCGGCATGGATATGGACCGTTCCTGCCCTGACTTTTTTGTTTCTTATCGCAGAGCTCATAGGAGAAGAAATTTACGACGAATTCGACCCTGAGGGTGCGCATGGTGATCCATACCTCCCCCCCGCACAGGCTAATAGTTCTGTTCATGCTGTTGACAACCGAGATGATGCTGCTGCCATGAATAAACCTCTTCCACCGACCCTCAAACCACTGTCGCTGAAGGGGCTGAGTTTCCTGAGGTCGAGAAGTGCACCTCCTAGTCCGCGCGATACCGTTTCGTACAACGATTTGTCAATTCCTAATGCGACTATCGATCATGGATCTCCCCCTTCCATGCCTCGTACAAATTCTCATTCAAACGTGGAGAATTCACGTACACCCACTTCAATATACGCCGGAGAAGAGCGTATTGTTCGAGGGCCCCCTTCAATCATTGTTGAACAGTATGATGTGGGACCACCCCCGACAAGCATTTCTTCCGATGAGAGGCCGGCTTACAATCCTGCTGAGGAGGCTACTAGTGAGAAATTAGCGAAAGTTCCCCCTTACCAGCCGACGATCTTGTCCCCCGTGGCCAAAGTAGCGAATGCAGCTCAGTTTATCCCACCCGGGTCCCGCAGTGCTTCTCCTGCACCCTCTCTCGAAGCCTTCTTGTTGGATCGGAAGCGCAGAATTGGGGTTTCAGCTTCGGGATCTCCTGGATTACTCGCAGCCTCCACCGGCGCTAGTCTAGTTGCTGTACCTGTTGCCGGATCCGTCAGTTTGAGAGCCACTCCCTCAAAGGGGGCGCGCTTCAAGAGTACACCATTAGGAGGGATTGATAAGCCTGGAAATCTCTTAGCAGACAGAGCCGGCCGCTCGCAAGATACCACAACTGCAGACGAAAACAGTGGGACGAACTAATTGTGAGAATTGCATCCAGAACGGAGGTAGACAAAAGAACCACCTGAGACGTGAATGTTATGATTTAATTGCTATATTTTGTATCTTTACCTATACATGTTCCTCTGATGTGTATTTATGTATGGACTGCCTGCTCCTGTGTATATATAGTAAATGTTCCATTGTATCTTCCAATGTGGTCTCCATCCTAAATTAGGGGTTTCGAGTTACGACAAGACCATCGACACAGAGAGGGAGGTCAAACCGAGGACTGCCCCGGCAGAGATGAAACAGAACGTGTCGTACGAATAGGTATATCCACCGGCAGTCCAGCATCTCTCCAAGCACGATAACCTCCGATGATATCCGTCGCGTTCAGCAATCCGAGCTGTTGAAGTGAGTATGCTGCCAAACTCGAAGAGTCTCCGTCTGAGCAGAACACGATGATCCTCAGATCATAACGATCTGCGATATTCAATCTCGAATGCGATCGAGGATCAAATTTCCACTCCAGAACATTTCGTTCTATAACCAGGGCACCGTTGATGCCACCTTCCTCGTCCCTCTGATCTGCAGGCCGAATATCAACGAGGAAGGTAGGTGCGCCGACCTCGGGTTCACACAACTCTTCGTATGCCTCCGTTGATTTCAGACGTTGGAGCTTAGCGCGTGCATCTGAGAGAATCTTCTCGATGCCTCTCGATCCAGGAGGAGGGATTAAAGGATCAATTGGAGGTTGAGCAGATTTCCGTACAACGTCCCATAAAGCACTCTCGTCGTAAGATGTATATCCAACATCCTTGACAGATATGAAGGACGTATAAGCGGGCTCGTTTCGAACCCCCAGAACTCGCCCAATAAACTTTGAGGTGGTCAAAAGAACAGCTCTCTGAACATAATCCTCTGCGGAGCCACATAAGAAAACAAAGTTGGCGCTCGAATCAATGGGAGGACCCGTGGTGTAAACAGCGAACAAAAAATCCTGGAGACAGCATTCCTTGATAGTTTGGGCGATTTGTTTCAAGAATCCTGCATCGTCACTTTTGGAAAAAGTCATCATAACACCAATCTTGACATCTTCACTGCTGAAGTTGAATAAAAATTCATTGGCACTATGACTGGTATAAGGAATTACCGTCGAGAAGTTCCGCCTTATTCACCATTTGCACAGCAATTTCTTGTGCAACTTGGTCTCGAACTTCCGCCAAAGTTCGTGGAGGGAGGGGCTTCAAATCAGAGGAGATGGGTGCGGCATTCATCCTAGCAGTCGAAGTTGAGCCAGGCATGAATGAGATGTTGATGGATAAGCGGTTACGCTGACCGTGACCTACATATGTAAGTTGATAAGCGCTAGATACATACAGCTACATACAGACTCTTTGATTGAAAAAACTCGAGAAAATAAGTACGCCTTCAGACACTATTCAGTTCTTAGTGGGCCGGATACGTCTTTGCAACATATAATCATAATCCACCATTGCCTTCTTCACGCTTTCAACTAGATCATCTGCAACCTCCTTTCCCCAGATATCCGCCCACTTATTTCCCTCTTCGTCAAGATTGAGAGGTTTACTGTATTTCTGTTGGTACCATGAGAACCTTGAAAGAGCGGTTAAGACCAAACGTACCTCAGCATCTCTAATTACACCAGTAGATCGAGCAACGTTACCACCGAAAGCATCAATGACTTTTTTGACGGCAGGAGTCTTCAAATCATCAGGAGCAGCAGCAGCAGGCCAGGAGCTATACGGGTCACCGCTCTCCCACGTATACTTGACCGCGCTGGAATCTAAATGGATGTGATCACACAACTGTGTCATGATGTCCTCAGTGTGAAGCACCAAATCGTCCCCATCAACAACTAAAGGAAGAATCGGGTATCCTGGCCGTGGATGAGCTTTGAAGTAATTGTCGTAGTAATCGTAAAGAATGCGACACCAATGAAAAGTTGCAGTGAACGGCCATTCGCTTTCCTTTGTCGTCGCACCAAAGTTCTCGGAGGTGTTTTTGTACCAAGAAGGGATCATACGAATTGGATTGCGGATGATAAATATGGGAGTGAGGGTGTTCATGAAACGATCAGGGACAAATGTGGGGTTCGTGAGGATGGCCGTATCTGCATTCTCAAGGGCCGAAGGAGAATCAGTGTCGTATTTATGATCAACCAGGGGCTTAAGAGGATACTCTGGGTATGAATATTCCGCCAGATCCTTGGCAATAACCTTGGGATGGATCATGAAGCATACATGTTCCTTGGTCAAAGGGATCTTTCCCTAACATGGTAAGACAGGTTCAGTGAACAATCTAAACTTTTGATGTTAAGTATCATCACCTGGGCCTCCGTTTCTCCAAATGCTCGTTGCAAGTCATCCAGACTTTGCTGGGTGGTAAGGGTGTCATAGTTGCTCTTCAAAGTTGCATACATGTCTTCTACCTCCTTCGATTTATAACCTAGTCGTCGGTCTGGCCCCCACATGTAGCCAGGCATGAAGGGATATGTATGTTGCACAATATCCGGCTGGCTCGCGAAGAGCTTTGTAAACATATTGGAGTTGGTGCGAGGGTGGGAGAATAGAGCAATACGACGAGGCTGCTCGGTTTCACCGTCCATGATGTTACACTGGGCCAATGGAATGAAAAGATGCGATTTTCTCCTCCATATATACTGTACGATATGCATGCGAAAACTGATCCAATTATGAGAATAATCCTGATTAACTGAGTATAGAAATGAGAACACGTTGAGCCTCCATTGGTTCGGACAATGAGTTCGGCCCTTCTGTGTGGGCAGACTCGGCCCTTCTGTGTGGGCAGACTCAAGCCAAAGACGAATCAAAGCAGCGGTATATAACGGAGAGGATAAGCGCTGGGATAATCGCGCGTCTTTCTTGAGCCACCATCATCATGTTTTCTGCGTTTCGAAAAGCAGCGGTAAGTGTCGTTTCGTATCAGCAGATGAGCTTTGCTGAGATTATTCTTATTCAGACCGAAGTTACAATATTGTGAGCAGTTGATTCATCTCAGAAGTTACTCAAACCCAAAACTCCCCAAGTCATCATCCTTCCTCGCCTTCGTCCCAGAAGGCTTTGAACATGCTGAGATCAGCCGTCTCTGGACCATACCCTCCCACGAAATCTACATCCCCCCCTCTGGATTTTAAGCTTGAGGTCGTAGAGGCTCCTCCGACACCGGATCAGCTCAAAACCATAATGTCTTATGTTTCCCCAAATTCTACTCTTTCTGTTTTCCTTTCTGCTCATCCTTCTACACCCTCTGGATCAGAAGCACCTCAGTCAGCATCTGCAATACATAACATTGCAGCTCATAACCCAAACGTCATGAAATGGCCTATTGTAGTGGACTGGACAAAAGGAAGAGTCAGTATCGGCGACGTGGAAGGTGTTCAAAGTATTTTGGAGACCCTACGGAAGCAGAGAGATGGCGAACTGCCCCAGGAAGAGGAAGTTGATCGGCCCAAAGGTTGGTTCTCCTAGTTCCCTCCTACCTTTCGTCCCTGAGGCGTTTCGGGGAATAGTGTATTATTTTTATATACATAGCGCAAACCAAAACGGTTATTATAAATACAAAACAGAAGATTAAGTATGAATGAAGGAAGCAAAGACAGGAAAACTTAAGTGAAAACAATAGGTATAAGTACTAATGTATATCGCACAACATAGTAGTCGATGCCTTTGGAATTTACAGCAGGATCGAAGAATATACATCATTATTTGGTGGATAGAATACTTGGGTAGAGCATCTGAGCGATAGGCTAAGATTTAGAAGTTAAATAAACCACAGAAGAAATGCACGGTGGGCAGAAATATCGGACAAGAGTTGTGTTGGAAACGATTAGAATCAACCTGGTGTGCACGCGATTGACTTTCTGATGCGACGTTCTTGAAACTTGAAACGCAAAAAATTTAGTTTGAAACATGGGTGGGCGAAGCGATATCAGTGATATATTTAAGGAGAGCTCAAAAAAGATTGACTGACCCTTCCTTCTCTTTCCTCTTCCATTTATATGGTACTAACATGTTGCGGATAGAAACCCCCATTACCGGCGCTGGAATTCACGCCTTGCATGCTGAATTGCTCATCTAGTACTGACATCCCAAACTGGGCTGGAACTGTGGCAGAGTGTATATGGGAAGGGTGTTGATACGAAGAGCCAGGCCGAGGTAAGTCCACAACGAATGTGCCCGGACTGTCAGTAACCTGACCAGGTCCTATCGGCAGGTGATTGACAAACGGAGCAGGCGACTCTGTTCGATATACTTCCCCTGGATAACTGTTCGAGGATGAAGCACTCGGGTCCACTGAACCAGGTCTAGATAGCATCTGTCGAGCTTGGTGAAGATGATCCGACCCTGACACTTCTACGCTCAAACTAGAGGCTCGACTCTCACTTCTTTGCATTCCTATTCCGGGAAGGGGCATTGAATGACCAGCCGGGCTTGAATGCACACTTCCCCCGCCTCTGCTCAAACTACTGGCTCGGCTGCTACTGGCATAAGGATGATAAATGCTCGAAGTCATGTTATCGCCAGAGCCCCCACCACTTGTGGGCCTCCTCACAAAACCACCATCTGCGCCTCTCATCAAGCTAGGTGTCATGCTCCGATGTCTCCTGACTGGACCCCCGGCTGTAGACGAATCCACGCTTAAACCACCCATGGATGCCGCAAATAAAGCACTTGACGGCTCTGGCATACCTTGAGGATACAAGTTGCTATGATCAAAGGCAAGCTTATGTGAGGGAGCTGAAACTGAAAGATTCATGCCTGGGACTGGCAAGCTAGCAGAACCTCTGTGATGGGAGACAGACGGATCCTCCATACTGTATTCAACTTCATTAGTTCCATTCAGGTGCTGTCTCGAGTACGGCGGATGAGGTCTTGGCACAGAGCCCGCACCCCAGGATGTTCTGTTAGGACTGAGCGAAGGAACAGAAATAGTGCTAAAAGCGGGGGAAGGTGTTCCACGTAAAGCCCATTGAGATTGTGCATCAAGATGTGAATCGAGCGATTGACGAGGGGAGGGTGCACGGAGGTCACGGGTATTGGATTGGAGAAAATGAGAGTCAAGTGAGGAATGATGCTGAGGTCGATGTGCGACGTAACCCGCAGTGTCATAAAATTGTTGGGATGGCCGTTGATTATAAGGATCTGAATTTGGCTAGAGATGTAAAGTCAATGGTTTGTACATTGGAATCTACAAGTGTACTCACTACTGTGTTGTAATTTGAATCGCCGGTGAAATAACCTTCATCGCCAGATTCTCCGCGCACATGGACACGGACCAAACCCTCCTCATCGCCATGTACATCTCTTACATCTCCGGTAAGCTCGACTTCGCAAAGTTCCATGGGAACGTCCAGGGAAGCCACAGAGCTCGGGATGGAAGAGGGATAAGAATTGTAATCATTATTACCATTGACACTTGTGCTCATACCCATGCCCATCCCTAGTCCGCCTGAGCCACCGAACATGTTCAATCCAACTCCGATATCAGCAGTCGAAGGTTGCTCTGACAGTGTGTCGTCCATATCCGCATCCACATGAGTTGCACGACCTCTGTTCGCAGAAAACACGCTCGGTTGAGCTTCTTCGTCCATTTCAGAATTGATCCACTCCCCGACGTTGACGCCCCATTCCATGCCGCTAAGCCCAAGACTGTCCCCTTCAATATTTGCATTATCGCTAGTCTCAGTATCATTGTGAGATTTACCTCCTTTGCAAACTCGCAGGTGCTGGCTGAGATTGTCACTTCGTGAGAACCTTTTGCCACAGCCATCTTTGGTGCAAATGAATGGCCGCTCCAGTGTGTGTGTACGGAGATGCCTTTTCAGATGCTCCATACGCTTGAAGAGCCGACCGCAGGAAAGCAAAGGGCATGCATATGCTTTCGTCGTCGTTGCCGCTCCGGATGAAGAAGTACCGGGTATAGTGATAGGGTTAGGGAGTGTAGCGGGGACTTCGGGGGCGGGGGGTACCGAAGAAGGCGAGCCAGATGTAGATATAGGGGAACCTCTGCTGTCACGGGGACTTGAGACCGTAGAACTACGAGGAGGGGATTCAGACATCGAGACATTGCTCATGTAAGGACTAGCAGCAGAAGATGTCTGTTGTGCTTGTATATAGGGCGATGAGACGGTCATGGAATGATCCATGCTTTTGCCTCGGTTTGCGAAAGGTGGAAGAGGTGTGGACGTTGAGGCAGCCATGTCTACCCCTGTATATTTTCCTTCCAGCCAAACAGGGATAGTGCCGGTTTCCATACCTGTTTGATAAGGTGTCAGTTTCTGTATGGAGGTAGCGAAGAAAACACCGACTTGATCCAGCGTAGCTATGCCTCTTCGTAGCCCGGGACTCTACAAATGGCACGTTGGGCAATCCCCCCCGAGCTTGCATTAAGAACATATCGGCGGCGCTAATGGACTCCTGCTTCACTCTCACGCCGGCGGATACATTCGACGAATATTCTCCCTGTCCGTAGCCAACGTCCATTCCATAGGAATTGTGAAGAATGGGATATTGAGTTGTGTTTGGGGGACTTGAACTAGGATGATATCCAATGTTGGCTCGCGGATCATGACTGTAAGTGCTTCCAGTAGGATATAAAGCATATTGCTCGCCAGAAGGCGGATAAGAATATCGATTGACAGAGGATACGGATGAATTGGGTGTTCCATTAATAGTTCGCATGTCATACCTTCCTCGTACAATGTCGCCATTCGATGCGATTCCCTCTGTTACTATACCATGCTGGGCAGAGGTAGTCGAGGCCATAGCAGCGGAGGACAGGGCAGAGGGCCTACTAGGCTTTTTTCTGCGTTGTTTGTAGGTAGGACTGCCTTCGAACAGCGAAAACATGTTGAAGAATGGTGAATTCGGGTTGTCGGCTGCAGGAGCGCCTACTCCCCTTTGATTCCGATGATTTAACCCTTCAACATCGGAAGAGCTAGCACTCTCGTCACCGCTCGGGTCATTATCAGCATCACTACTCATTCCAGCCTCAGCATGTGCATTTCCCTCCTTGTTGCCGTTAAATCCGATGGCATCACCCTCTTCCAGTCCCCTAACAACTCGCTCGAGTTCTCCTTCGCCTTCTTTGCCACCTGCAGCTTTGACAAACTGTTCGTAAAGAGAACGTTTGAATGCGCCATCGTAGACAAAGCTAAGAGCGGGCTCTCCCACGACTTGTGTCGTCGATTCAAGACCCATTCTGTGACAGGAAAAATGTTCAGAAAAAGGAAGTGGATTAAAATTAAATGCCAATACTTTTCTCTCTTGAGGTCCCTTTCGAGAGCATCCAGGAAAAGTCGATCGTGAGGAACGCTGAACCAGTAGAATACTTTTTGTTTCTTTTGCGTTCGGATGCACTGATATTTAAATAGCAAGTCTAGGAAAGGTGACTACATGTCTCTTGAGTAAGTTCCTGCATTCGAGAGACATTGCCATTATTCACCTTGGGCTCTTCCAAGCTCGCATCCTGCCCGGGTTTCAAATTCCGCAAGTCACTGAAGACACCTTCCTCAAATTTCTTCATATTGCGTACCGGCCGGCCAAAAGCGTCGAACCTAGAGCACTGAAATTTAACCAAAAGGACGATGATCGACAAAACAGTACATGCCTAAACACCAGAGCCCTGACGATATCTGTCCCAGTGATATGGTAGAGTCCGTTCCAAAGCACACATGTTACGTACTCCTGGGTTGGGAGGAGAAAACGGTTGAGTGCTGGATGTGTAGGAGCATGATGTGGAATGTTGAGACCGCTATTCATTCCCATTCCCATGTTGAGATATGGATCTGAAGATGAACTCGAAGCATTCGAACCATTAGAGTCCCATCGACTCGGAGCGGTAGCAAGAAAAAACTTTAGCCTGTCCAACTGGGCCAGCTTTTCTTGTTCAATTTGGTTCAACGGTCTAGAAAGGCCAAGGGGGAGACCAGGAGTGGGATCGATTGCGGAAGAGGAAGATTCTTCGCCAGACATGGAAGATCTCGACGAAGACGTGTTATTCGGAGCGGTATTCCATGACGGAGCACTACGATTTCCTCCCGGCCGTGCAGTATATTCGTCGTGTTCATGGGCTTTAGGAAGAGAATTAAGTTGCAGAGGCTGTAGTTGGGTTCTGGACATGATTAATGATGATAGTGTACGAGATTAAAGCGAGGTAACAGTAATTGACGGAATTTCGTCGTCCGTTGTCGTTGTTCGCGAAAAGTATAGAAACGATCGTCGTCGTCTTCGTCAACGAGACAATTCAATATGTCGATTGGGGACGGAAATATAGGGTAATGGTCGAATAGAGAGAAGACGCAGCGAGTGTTAGGGAGAGGGTAAAAAAATCCTTCCAAGCCGAAGAGACGATGGTTTGGAAAAGAGTTATCAGTGATCCTAACTTCAGCCAGGTCTACAAAGAATACAGAGGCGATGCTTCAATTACCGAAAGGGGTTGAGGCCCAGGTCCGGCCATCAGCCCATCGCGCATGACTAATCAATATTTCTCCATTTTCTTACTCCGAATATCAAGGTGCGCATCGCCTTCTAGCCTCTTGAATTACTTCCGTTGCAGTGCAATCCCTTGCAATTCATGAATCACATCGCGACCAACAAAAATGTTAACCATTTCAAGGTCCTTTTTCCGTTTCTGCTCTTTCTGGTCGCTACAATCGTAAGTATCCTGACTGAATCCAAAATCTTGGTCCCTCTTACTCGTCGCCCGCACTTGTTTGCTGGTTTTCCGAGATGAGAGGAAGAACGTGGGTTCCGGTGGTCAGCCTATAATCTATCCCCACGCGCGCGCCGCCTCGAATGCATGAAAGAAGGTACAAGACCCGGAAGACCGAGACCGGCACGACTTCAAAATATCTCTTTTTTTTGTTACAGGCCGGGTTCTCTAGCCTACTCTCTTGTTTTGATTCTGTATCTGACTACAGTATAGGTTACCGATGTCGTGCTGAAATGGCGATGTATGGCCATTTAAGCAGGGATTTCACCCTATCAACTAGGCTTAAAGTACTACCGCTAGGACAATTCAGTGTGTTACTGTGTACTCTATGGCCAGATTCAACTAGAATCTTTTTATCTTGCTTTGTATTTCTTCAACAATCCAGCTTCCCATTTCATCTAGTACCTCTTCAAAACATGCAAAACCCGAAGTATGCGGATATGTCGGAACTCGGTATCACGAATCCACAACGCTATGGGGCCACGAAGAATACTCTGGGAAACTGCTGGGATCTGAAAACAATAGTATCACAATTCGGCGTGCTGAATGTCTTTCCCCCTGGGGAGGATGGGAGGATATCCGTTTCTCAATGACCGGACACAAGCCCCCTGGATATCTTGCGTTGAGCCGTATATTCTGTTTTTGCTTGCGAGCTTTACTACTGCCAATTTCATGGCTCCAAGTAGTTCAGTCACCAGAAAGCTTAGCTTCTTCATATCGCAATCAATATCTCTCAATGAAATGGCCTTCTATACGGACTAAATCATCATATCCTTGACGTCGGAGAAAACGTTGTCGAATATCACAGCGTTGGTGGCAATGCTGACGGTATTCATATGTATTCGATGGCGCTCAGGCCTTAAGGCTTAGTACCTTTCGTTATACATACTCGAAAACGGTGCCAAACTGGTTCCCTCCTTCCTTGGTCACCCGGGTCATAGTGCCATTATGACCTTCAAGCTGCATACCTCTGATTTCAAATCCCGCCATAACTATGTGCGACTAAGTAGCCTACGGTATTAACAAGTACTTCCAAACGTTTGGACCTGCTCCTACCTGTTCAGTCTTTCGGCGTGGCGCCTCAACTCTGTAATAACATTCAGTGTTCTATATGATCTAGTTTTCCTGCGTTTGTGGGGAACCTTCGACGAATCCATGTACTCTGGGGTCCGATCTGGTGTGATATTCGTTATACCTTCAAATTTTTAGGAGCCCCAGTCGAGGAATTTTCCGCATTGGTGGTGTAGAGACTCACGGAAGCTTACAGAGTCTCTGGTGTCTCCGCTAGGCTGGTTGTCAACTGCCAAAAGCAATCTTAAGGCTTGTCGGAAAATTTCAGTCACCACTATGATTTTACTCAGGTTGTTGGCTTTAGACTTGAGAGCTCATATCTCATATTGTTCCTGATAGATGTAGTTATATGAAGCGATAGATTTCAGTCCACAGTACGGAAAGTGGCGTAAGATAGATTTGCTCCACATGATGAAAAGGCAAAACTCGCTAAATATTTCAACACCGCCTTTGAATATTTTTGTGTGTAATTCTGACCACCCAAACTGCAGAGCTCATATTCTCACCCCGGGGCAATCAAAGTGGGTACGCCGGGGTCTTCCGTGACTGTGTCAACGCCAGGTTCTTGATGGGAAGCGGTAGTTGACGCGGTCCTATCGTGAGCGTTCGTGGGAGTGGGTACCTCTACTTCAAGAGGTGATGTAATTTCTGTGACATCCGCAGTGGAAGCCGAGTTGCCTATCGTTTCCCCGAAAGGCGGAGGCGGAGAAGGAGGAAGCGCGATCCAATGAGCTTCCACTTCATCCAACAGCGGGGGAGGCGGTATTGATGGGGGGATGTCTGCATAAGATAGCGGAATAGATGAAGCAACCGGCTGAGGGTAAAGCGGCGGAAGATTGGGAGAGGGAGGCGAAGAGGTGTGAAAGAAGGATGTGTCCCGGACATTGTGTGTGGGGCCAATATAAGGGGGAGGGGCAGCAGGCCCTATTCTTGGGAAATATCTGGGAATGAAAGGAGCAGGTCCTATTATTGGAGGTGTATTTCTGGCGGATGCAAGTTCACGCTCTCTGGCTTGCTCGAGCCTCTCTCGTTTGGCAGATCTGCGTCGTCGGGTCCAAATGCTGAGAAATATACACAACGCCAAAGTGCCTAAGACTCCGACGCTTCCTCCCACAGCACCAGCGAACGTTCCGATGTTACGGTGGTTCGCATCCCTAAGCCATTGAAGTGTTACCAAGTCTACTATGATGTATGAGGTAACTTACTTGGTGTTAGCTCTTGCAGTGGGCATCATTGTATTTGAAGTAGAAGAAGGCGATGATAGTTGCTCATTGACTGTGTATACCAAATAGTCGAACACGAACACTGAATTAGGCAACACGTTTACTAAAAGAACGTGCGGCCCGTCATCCAAATCTTCTACCGAGAACACAGATACATTCGAGGCAAATCCAGAAGTAGACGAGGAGCCGACATGGACGAAAGAGCCGGACAAAGTGGTGTCCAGAACGAACGTAAGATTCATGGTACTTGGAGTTATTGGAGGGGAGGTCGTGGCCAAAGGCTCAACGCAGAAAAGATAAACCGCATTCCCTATGGCACGGAATGTGAGAGCATTTTCTGGGACAGAGATCATGTGAGATTACCGTTAAAGTTGAACTGAGCGGTGACGGTGGAGTCCACAAACCCAGGATCATCAGAATCTAGCCTCCGCATTCGCGTCTCTCGTCTCTTTTCCTGGTTCTTGACGTGATCATAATAGTCGTTTTCGCCTTTCCTAGATTCTGCATGGTGCCCACTGAGTGTATTGTCCTGGGCGAAGTCGTCTGTATCTAGACTAATATTATGAATGCCAAGGTGATAGGAATTGTTAAATGCATGAGTTGCATCTGGTTGAAAGCATGTTGCACAATATTCAGTGTTCGTGAACCAATGCTCCTGGGGTTGATAAAGTATAGAAGGATCGGAATCGTCCACAGTAATATTAACGTTGGTACCGATGGCAGCATACGACGATAGCAGTGACAGCCATATAGTCACAGTGGAGGAGAAGTTAGCATATCTATATTGAAGAACTGAGTTGAAAGCAGCGCACAAGAGGAGACAATCACAATGCACAAACCTCATTACAGCTATGTTGACACAAGGGAAGAGCAAGTATGTTGTGGTACCAGATTTAAGGAGCGCTGTGGACCGAGGATAGAATCATACGTGGTGGAGAATGCTTGGGACCAATCATTTGCCTGGCAAGGCTTCGGTAAATACATCGCAGAAGTCTCGGTACATATCATTCAAAACCAACCGGTCAATTGAGCAGGAATTTACAGATGCCGGTTTCTTCTCACTCAGATATTCGTTCCTTTCATCGACCCAGTTCAAAGGGAGGCCATTCAACCGAGCTTGAGTCTAATCTACACCAAGAATTCAAATGAGGGCAGGTACAGGAAAAGCCTCGTACCTCAACTTTTCTTAAGGATCCCTTGAAAGGAGTATCAGGTCTTGGCAGGAGTATTCAAGGATCTTATGGAGCCACTCAAGGAATGATAAAGCGGATGGGATTAAATGTATAGAGGCAGTTGATATTCTATTTCAGATCTGCAAACATCGCTTTTGAAGATTCTAAGGTTGAGATCTCAGCTTCTAATGTTCTCCGCTAAGATGGGCTTATTCAGGAAGAGAATTAATGAGACAGAATAATGAAAGGCCCACCTTCTCATCATTCGCCGTACGAACATTTTCAGGAACCGTCGCCGCATAGTCTGACTGTGATTCTAGCTTGGTTATTTTCTGCAAGCTCATCTGTGCAATGGCCAATTTCTTCTCGCATTTAGCGATTTCCACATCGAGATCGACGTTACCCTGTATAACGTGCAACTTGGGCTTATATTGGAAAAACAGTGAACGTACCCTTACAAGTGTGTGCACAACAATCGTCGACGTGACTAAAGCGCTCCCACAGCCTGCAGGTATGCTCTCTGCGTCACGAACAACTTTGGCACTTGTACACCCTTTCGTCAGCGTAACGATAGTGGGAACTTGAGACTCGAGCAATGTGGCCTCCTCCTCAGACTTTGCGTGTATAAAGACTGTAGATCGTACAGCGAAGGAACGAAGATGACAGAAGTCACACTTACATTGAATGTTGCCTTGGAGGCTGTAAGAAGCAGCTAAAGATCGCCCAGTACGAAGAACAGTGAAAACTAAATCGAATCGTTTATCTGCGTCCTTGAAGACAAAATCGGGGTCCTATGGTCACGTTAGAGGAAGCCAAAGAATTATCATAATAAGGAAGGAAGCATACATGCACAGGGTATGAGGACACCATGATAGACGGTGTTGTATCATTTGGCCTGCGGGGTAGCCGTTGCCAGAGTTCTTCGGTCACATAAGGCATGAATGGATGTAAGAGACGTAGACCATGGTCTAGACATGTGTAAAGGGTTTGTTGAGCTGAGTGACGAGTGGTTGCCGAAGCATACTCGTCTGTCATAGGCTTCATAGCTTCCTGCAAATGAGAATGAGCCTCAAAACAATATGAAGATGTTTCCCATGTTGACACATACGATGTAGACATCGCAAAGTTCATACAGCCAAAAATTGTATACAACGTTAGTAGCGGACATGAAATTACGTTCCGCAAGTTGCGCGTTAACCTCGGTAGAAGCTATGTCGAGTTTGTGCAAGATCCACTGTTCCACAAGGCTCTCGTTACCAGTTGGCTAAATGGTGTTTAGCTGAGTATCTCAATAGGTTGCTCTGATAAACCACACCTTTGGCTGAGGCACAGGAACGAAAGAGTCCTCTAGTTTGAGCATTGCAAATTTGGTTGCGTTAAACACCTTGTTACAGAACTTGCGATAACCTTCTACACGAAGAATTTCAAGATTGATATCTCGACCTAACAAGGGAGGCATTAGTTGAAGTATAATGTCTAACGTCTGAGGATATTCGTACCTCCTCCAGAATACGCACAGAGTGCAAACCTCAGCGCGTCAGTACCGCACTGTGGTATACCCTTCGGAAAGTCCTTCTTCTGCCCGGCTTTGGCTTTCGCAATCTCCTTCTCATCCAGATTACCCTCATGCAGCTTCTCATGCAAAGCTTCAAGTGGTAGTCCTTGAATCACGTCAATTGGATCGATGACATTCCCAAGAGACTTGCTCATTTTCCTTCCGTGGGCATCTCGAATCATGGCATGACAGTAGACCTCCTTAAAGGGCATCTGTCCTGTGAGCTTGATTCCAAGCATAACCATGCGAGCAACCCAGAAAAATAGGATATCCCATCCTGTTTCGAGCAACGAGGTAGGGTAGAATGTTTTGAAATCGGGGGTCTACCATACCATGACATCAGAACAAGATGTGGATCAATATGTCAAACCCACATTATCAGGCCAGCCTAAAATCGAGAATGGCCAGAGGCCAGACGAGAACCACGTGTCGAGCACATCTTCATCTTGGTGTAGAGTGAATTTCGCACCGCCAGCGAGAGCCACCGCACGTTCTGTTGCCTGTTCAAGGTCCCGTCCCACAACCCAATAATCCCCATCACTCCGCTGTGCAGCAGTGAGTGATGGACGGATGAATAGAGATAACAAATGTTCATACGTTCTGTTCTCGACCTTCGATGTCAACGAAATACGCCGGACACCGATGACCCCACCAAAGTTGTCGTGATACACACCAGTCTTGTATACCCTCTAGCCAACGATACCATTCGTTTTCGGATTGTTTGGGGTTAATCTCAAGCTCCCCTGCCTTCGTACGCTGTAATGTATGTGCAATGATCAGAAAAAAGGAAGAGGTTGCGGAGAGAATTTACGCACCTTGATAGCTTCCTCAGCTAAAGGTTTACAATTGACCCACCATTGAGGCTTAAGAATGGGCTCAATGATATCGCCAGATTTACTAGTTGCAGTGTGTGACAATCAGGATAAGTCCGATGAGTGAAAGATCAGAAGTTTACCTGCAAACAGGGATTTGCATGGGGTTGTCTTTTGCTTCGATGTACAATCCTTTCTCCTGAAGTGCTTTTACAATAGCCACACGAGCATGGAACCTTTTCATACCCTTGAAGCTTTCACCTGCATTGGAGTTGAACGTCCCATCATCATTTAGAATGTTGATGAATTGGAGCTGGTGGCGTTGACCAACTTCATAATCATTAGGATCGTGGGCAGGGGTGATTTTTACAGCACCAGTACCGAATTCCATGTCCACCATGGAGTCGGCAATAATAGGTATACGGCGGTCAACAAAAGGATGCACTGCGAATTTTCCGTGAAGACTCTTGTAACGCATATCATCGGGGTGGACTGCAATAGCAGTATCACCAAGCATGGTTTCTGGACGAGTGGTGGCAACAATGAGCATTTCATCGGAGCCTTCTATGGGGTAGGCAAAGCTAGTGATCACCCCGAATTCGAATTTTTCTTTTGCATCGTAACCTGGAACGTTGAGTAATGTGCGGCCGGAAAGCTGTTTTTGGTCGACTTCGAGATTAGACAGTGTGGTATTGAGGCGCACACACCAGTTGACAAGGCGATTTGCTCGATAAAGAATACCATCTTCATGTAGTCGACAGAAGTTTTCTATCACAGCTTTAGAAAGAGACTGGAGGGAACTTATGAGCGGGAATACGCTGAATTTTGGGGCAACGTACAGGATTCATTGTGAAAGCGACACGATCCCAATCATAACTACCACCCAGCCGTGTGAGCTGATCTGTGATACGAGTCTGATATCTGAAAGAATTTCGAGCGATTATTATGGCAGTGTCTACATATCACAGGTACTCACTCATTCTTCCAATCCATGACAGTCTCCAGAAACTTTTCACGGCCGAGATCATGTCGAGTTTTGCCTGACGACTTGAAGAGTCGCTTTTCAACCACAGATTGAGTGGATATACCCGCGTGATCGAATCCGGGGACGAACAGGGTTGTCTTCCCCAACATACGGTTCCATCGCACTAATCCGTCTTGGATGGCGGTTGTCAAAGCGTGTCCTATGTGTAGACTTCCGGTAACATTTGGGGGAGGTGCTGGAATCACGAAAAGCCCCTCCGGACGAACGTTTCCTTCTGTAGTGAATCTGGGAGAGAAGAAACCTTGGGCATTCCACCAGTCGTACCATGCAGATTCAACAGCGATTGGATTATAGCTATTGGCCATGGGTTGTGAGAGATCTGTCCAGGATGAGACATTGGCAGACAATTTAGGTACTACATTACTCACCTTTCTTTTTGCCTTTTGGCGTGGTGTTCACGAACGGAGACTCTTCCTCCTTCTTCTCCTTTTCCACCTTGGCCTTCTTCACCCCTCCTGTAGCGACAGCGGTAGGATTCTTCACAGCTTTAGCAGCTAGCTTAGCTTCCTTTTCTAATCTCTTCGCCTCTTTCTTCGCTGAAAAGAATGTTACAAGTTAAGACCAGCAAGCCTCGACAAAGCCCACCTGCGCTCTTGGAATTGGGATCGGGAACATTGTTAGATCCTGAAATAGCAGAAGGTGATGTTGTCGTAGACATCTTCACGACTAGCAATGAGAATCTATATGCTCGAGTCAGAAATCGATGTCGACTTAACATCGACAAGAATTCGGCTGAGTCACATGTTATTAGATCACGACTTCGAGTCGACTCGCTGGTCCTGGCCGGAATACTATACATAGTACGTACATCTACTACTCAAACAATGATATAGTATATTCAAATAATAGTCTCCAAAACGATATCACAATTTACACAGTCATTGATACGGGTATCTTCTAGGCCCGTCTTCCAGTCGCGTCAAGAGTGACTTTACCTCCCTGTCAGGGAAGAAGGTGTCCATAGGTGATCCCAGAGAGCGTTGAGCTGGTAACCGCGAACGCGAAGGGGGCATTTGATAACCACCCTCGTACGCATTCCGTGGCGGGGAACGAGATCTCGACCTTGAAAGTCGAGCCAATGGTCTGCTTCGCTCGTGATAATCATATTCCGGTCGCATCCTTGGCCCATACCGCCGCTCTCTAGCCTCGCTCTCTTCTCGTTTTCGCTTTCTTGCACCTTCATCGTGGTGTTGGATGAGCATGGTGGACAAACTCGTGTTAAAATTGACACATTGTAACCCGATACAGTCCAACTTGATCACCCCTTTTTCTATCCATTCTCTGATTTTTTGTTCTCGAGGGAATCCCTGTAAGTGATTTTTCGGCATGCACGCGTTTGTGAGAGCCGTCAGTGTCTAAAAAATTATAGCACGGTTTTCTTCTTAGAAGGGGGAACCTTACAATATCGTGAAAGTCAGAGAATTTAAATGCCGCCGACGGTGCTTTGCCAATTTTGAAGAGCTTGTATGAGCCAGCGTAGAAGATCCACTCATTATCCGTGACGAATAAGTCGCGAGTTTGACCGATATAATCTCCAATGCGTGAATGGATGCGGTGCCCCGTGTTCGGAATTAATTGACTGGCGGGTTCTACAACGACGTAGTGTTGCGACCCTGCTTCGAGCAGCCGTCCCGGTAAGAAGAATATGGTACCTGGTCCCCTGGTGAAACCAGACTATGTTATTGATGAATTCGGACACACAAGCTTTGCTTGACTCGCCAGTGATACGTAGGAGCCTGGATCGATATTTGAAAGTGCACCATGATTTCGGTAGCAAGCTACTCACTGCATCCCGTAAACAATCCAACAGCTTACTAGACCTCGGCGCAACCGGCAGTCTTTCTTTCCCATCCCTTAGTTGCGTACATTGAGGTAGATCGGAGACGGTGCTTATGACGGTTTGTAAGAGGTTTCCCTTCATTATTGATCAAACGAAATCCACAAATGATGAAATGGTGAACCAACCTGGGATATACACTCAGGACTCTGACTCATGTCCCTCATTCCGTTTACACAATCCGGATCCGTCATCGGTTCTGCAATGCGAGGGGGAGGAGATACTGATGCATGTATTGGACTAGAGGCTTGACCTACTGCATCCGTATGAGAGATGTGCGAATGCGCAGAGGCAGGGGAGGTGCTATAGGGTTGAGTGAGGGTGATTCCAGCAGCCGCAAGGGATTCTGAAACTGGAGGAGGCAGAGGAGATGCAACAAGCGGCGTGGGGTCATTAGCGTCATGACATTCGATGGCTACGGACGTGGGAGTGGGAGAATGACTTCGAGGTCGTGAATTATCGTTGATGGGCGGTGCGTCAGCAGGGCATATAGGGGTATATCCAGTGGGCTCAGGAATGGGTGTAGGTGCCTGCAGGTGTAAATCATTGCAGTTCCCCAGTGCTTTCTTCTCCATCACCATGTGTTTGTATTTCTATGGTCAACAATCAAGACAAGGTCGGAGATATAGTCGATTGAATGGCGAGTTTACCTCCTGATACAACTTCGCTCGAATATCCGCTTCGTTGAGTTTTTCTGTTACGAGCTGCAGCTCCTCCTCTAACCCTTGTATCTTAGATTGTTGCAGTGTCGTGTCATTCGGGCCTTGAATTCGATCATGTATTTGCTCCTGCTTGATCTGAGTTGACTTTCCTTTCATCTGCATGATATTCTCCTAAAATTGCACATTTCATCACGCATGAGAGTAATATCGCATACCACACCAACCTTAGCTTTGCATGTGGTGCAAAACATTTCCACTTGTAGTGCAGCCTGATCCTTCTGTTTGGTTCTTTCAGCTAATAGCTCCTGATTTTTTGCCTGTTCGACTGCTAAAGCAGCCTCCATTGTTTTGTACTTTGATGCTATTTGCACCTCTAATCTTTCCTTCTCCACTATCAGTGTTGTGTTTTCTGCCGCAGTTTGCTGTAATGCTTTATGAGCTGAATTGAGGTCCGACTTCTGCATACCCGAAAAAGGTCGCGTGAGTAGTGTGGTATACTGTAGTAGCGATTGAGACCCACCTTCTTTTCCAGTTCCTGTTTCTGCTCTTCAAAACTATCCTTCAACAGGTCATATTTCTCCTTCAAATTATAGTGCGTGCTTTGTTCGGATTTTAGCTGAATCAAAATGAAGATTTGTGTCACTTCTCGCAAACAGATTGACATACTCACCTTCTCTGCAATTACCTCCTTAGAGGCTTCCGCTTCAGCTAAGCAGTGACCTATCTGTTTCAATTCTAACTCTTTATTTTTCAACTTTTCCCTCAATGAGTCATTGACTTCGTTTAGGATTATATTCTGGTCTCTGACTTCAGAATAGGCAGCTTGAGACGTTGAGGCTGGCGATACTCTGTAAGCTCTGGGAGCCTTAGGAGGATACTTTGCATTTATCGATCCGTTCGCATGTATATTCGGACCACTTGGCTCCTATATCATAAAATAAAATGAAGAGCACTAGGTAAGCAGAGAGATTTAGGGTGCTCACAGCTTTGACTATTACTCTGTGCTGGCTGTCGCCTAATTTCCGTTCCAGCTGATCTTTCTCCTTTAGTAAGGCATCTCTTTCTTTTGCCAAAGTGTCGTTTTCCAAGATTATCTCCTTTTTCTTCTGCTCAATCCTGGTAACCTCCTTCTTAAGATTGGTATTGGTTGCTTTCATCTCACGAAGCTCTGCGGAGATAGACTGAATAGACGTCTCTTGTGCTGCTTGAAGTTTTCCAAGGTTCTTCCAAGGGCATTGTTAGAAGTATTTCGAGATCACATCGAATGATACACACTACAAGTTCTTCACATTTCGCCTCGAGTTCCCTCACACGCTTCCTCTTCTCTTGGACGGTCTCAAACAACATGTTGGCGATTCGAGGGCCAAGTTCAGGGTCTGAGTGCATGTTGTTCACCATATTTGAGCTAGAACTCGATGCTTCAGCCATATCGTGTGAATGGTTGTTCAGATTGATGGTAGACAATGTATAACGGGATTGAGGATATTAGGCGCTCATCGACGTCGAGCTCATTACCCATTTTCAAAATGCAGTAGTTAGCGCCTGTTCTCACGACTCCAAATTTGAGCTTGCTCGAAAACATGACACCAGCTCTCCACTCGAAAATTAGTGCAGAGCGATTGAAGGGTTCTTAATGCGCCCCATAGTCATTTTTGCAACTCAGACCATCATTTTGGACAAATGCGCGCCCGAGACCAGCCCGTCTCGAAATGGACAACAAATGTACAAGCAAACGTACATTGAAAACTTCTACTGTAATTTAAGTTGCTCAAGCTTTCATTTAGTTTTCCTTATAGCAACACTTACAGAACAGAATACGAGCTTCAACTAACATCAACATTTTTCAACTCTGATGACCGGGGAAACTAAACCCATTTCCATTATCCACTGAACGCAGTAGCACCTACTTCTACCCCTACACTACTTTTCATCATACCCCGCATCGCCTTCTCTAGCTCATCTTCAAAACTACCCGACTTCAATCCAAACATAGCAAAGATACGCTGCCTCAAACGTGTGGTCCAGAATGCAAGATCCAGAGAGAGAAGGACACTGCGAAAAACGATATCGTTGACATACTCGCGTAGGCGCTCACCGATGGTGAGGTTAGGAAGACGAGTGAGAGAATTTGATGCCCATAATCCAATTATCTTGACTCGGTTCACGGGGGCCCCAAAGGATTGATTGTTTCCTTGGACGATCCTACATAGCGAGTGGAATAAATGACAGTCGTCGAGCCAAGAGTGTACGACCTACCGCATGTTTCTAAGTAGGAAGATCAAGGCTTTTGGCATTCGGTCGGTATCAGTAAGGAATTGTTTGAGTTTTGCCTTCATTCTGAGTATTTCAACGTATTGATTCGATAAATTCCTGAAGATCAACGAAACTACATACCTGACACTTTGCTCATATTGACTGAGACTCATATACTCTTCTAATTCCCGAGTGACTCTCTCCGCCTCCGCTTTTCTGTCCTTCCTAGTTAGCCGCACCGGCCTTGCCAGTGCGACACTCGCGAACATGTCAGGAAGTCCCATTCCCCACTTCCTCGTCGTTCGCTCCACGCTTTTGAACTCGCCGGTAAGAAGTCCTTTCCACATTGATGCCCAATCCCGTCGGAATTCCTCATCAGCGCGAACGTAGAGTCCATGATCCAGAAGTACAAGCTGTGGAAGGGTCGGATCGTGTGGATTGGGACGAATAATGATGTTGCCAGGATGGGGATCCGCGTGGCACCAACCCCAGCTAAACATTTGTGCACTGAACAATTCGACCATGATTTGCATCACAGATCGGACGCCACCTTTGAGAGGTGTAGGAGGAAAAGAAAATGATGGAGGAGCATTGTCTTCCGACGTGTCCACGAATGAAGGTACAGTCGCCTGAACGACTACGGGATTATTGTTTTCCGCCATCAAAAGTCTGATTCCACTACGATCGCTGAGGCGAACACCAGATATCCACTCCGCAGTCATTACGCGTTTGGTGGTGAGTTCGTCATAGACCTGAAAGTACATAGTGCATCCAGGGTCAGATACTAGGCGTAGAATGGTAGCAATGTGTGTACTTTGGGTATGTAAACATTCTTGGCGAGCCGTGGTTCTGAAGCAATGAATATCGCAGTTTGCTTCGCATTTTCGGCCTCCAATCTAAAATCTAGTTCACGACGAAGATGGTCCGAGACGAAATCTACGGGAAAAGAGGAATATGATGAGCGATTCCTAGGAGATAAACCCGCTGAGAATACTCACCAACTACGAAGTACACCGGGAGATCAAATGCCCACTTCTCGAACATATACATAACAAATCTATATGCACCCAAATCCCATTTCATTTGTTTTGCAACGTCCGGTTTTTGAATCTTGACCGCAACCCACTTTCCCTCTGTATCACCTGGGAGAGGCCGTAATTTGGCTCTATGTACTTGGGCAATACTGGCGCTTGCGATAGCCTGCTCCTCGAATATCTCAAATACACCGTCAGGCCCGCACGGTGGACGACCAAATTCGGATTTGAAAACGTGCAAAACATCGGAATAGGGAATTTGGGGTGCATCGTCAAATAGTCGGGCAAACTTTTCCTGCATAGGTTTAGGTAGTAATGCAGCATTAGCACCAATGGCTTGACCTATAGGAATAATCGATTTTTTTTGGTTAACAGGTAACAGAAGACGACGCACCTATCTTGATATAAAGACCTCCATTAGAAGTGAATAAATTGTACATTCTATCAGCGACTCGAGTATGCAATTCTGTAATCTGGTCGCTCTTTTCCTCTGTAAAATTTAATTTATAATCTATTGTTATCATAGCACACTACATGAAGATCAGTGGAAGAAATTCTCAAAAGTTCGATGGGCATACTGTGTAGAGAGTCCTAAGATTCCGTGTTATTGAAGACGCATTGAATAGCCTGTCTGCGGTATAGAAAGATCCTACACTGAAGGCTACCAGGCTCGCTCTCCGTAGATGCTTCTGCCACCGAGTTGGCGATATTTGTGTGGTGTATGTTCTCCGTAAAGAGGCCCGGCTCAGCAGCGAAGCATGTTGGAACATTGGGATAAAAACGAACAACGTTTAAGGCATTGGCGTTCCGCGTGAAGAGCTTGGACTCAAAGAATCGGCGACGGAGAACCTCGGAGAACCAAAGTGAGTGAATGCCGAAAATGACGCGTCTTACTCCCATCATCGGGTATGACGTGATAATTGATTGGATAAGAATCACGCACGTCGTCGCACTGGACTCAGAGGAAAGGATATTTATTTGACCACTGGAATAATTTTGTCAATGTCTACGAAGAGTTGTGGGATAAGTTAAGTACAGTAAGAAGACAGCACCGGATTGCCATCGTATAGCTGCCATAACTATCATATCCCGATAACTCGGTAAGTTCATCAGTACATCAAGTTACCAACAGAAGAGGGACCACCGGCATTAGTATACAGGCAAGACCCAGTTCCGACCGTAGTCACAGCACCAGGATCATTCGCTTGCAAAAGGGCAGGAGATGTAGCGACGAAAGGGAAGTACAAAAGCACATATGACAAGCCATCAAGGAACGGGAACGCAGACTCAAAGAATGCAACTCTGGGTTTCGAGGAGGTCAGCGCCATTATAAGATGTATTTGTGGAAAACGTACTGGTTACCACCGTTAGTTAGAGCAAACTCAGAAATGACAATAGTGTACGACTGGAGCGTAAGTGTTAATCTTAGTGCTTCACAAAAATATGTGGGTGTTTTCTTACCGGAAATTGGTTGTGGGCTTGTTCAATGTATGCTTGAAATTCAGCAAAAGACGTTCTAATGCAGGATATCACAATTCAAACTAGAGATAAGCCAGACCACGAAATACTCACCCATACCAGTGCTATGTAGAAGTATCGATTTGAGCAAAGAAAAACATAGAAACGAGTGTAGCTTACCAAGTTGATGTAGTCAAAGTAGCAAGCCCCGGCACAAGCACTGATCATTTCAGACAACCAAGAAAGACCCTGGCCCGACGTTGTACTGGAAGTGACGGCCGGGAGTGCTTTTTTGATAGCCTATGGCGAATGATGTGTCAATGACGCAGTACGAGTTTGGTTGATCACATACCAGAGGATTAATCCATTCGATATACCAGGAAGCTGCTTCGGCAGGAGTGATACCGTTAATGTCGGGCTCATTCAAGCTGAAGACGGCTACAGACTAGGATAAGCATGCCGAAGTGATTTAGGATATATAGAGCTACGTACTAGCCCATCCTTGCTGGGCTTGACGGGTAGCTAGTTGGGCAACAGGGCTAGAGTCGGAATCCATGGTGCCTTGCATCCCAATGAATCCGAGTCCACCCGTGCCTCCTGTAGAGGTAGGGGGCGCATAAGTCTCCCAGTCATAACTATATAGGACTTGTAAGAGTTCAAACAAGACGAAAGCGAGGAAACACACATCGCCACAACCTCGCCGTCGCCATTGTTCAAAACACCTGGGTCACTGTAGATGGCAACAACGGTAAGTCGGTATCATTTGTTAGTGAAGCATGAAATCATACAGGGGACTGTTGTCTGTAGCAGAAGCGAGTCAGTAAGGAACTGCCGACGTAGAACGATTGACAAAAAGTACAGACACCAAGGCCAAGCCAATCCTCGTTTTCCAGCATGGACAGAGCTGGCCAAGCAAAGAGCAAAAAGAAGGAGTGCAGACTGAGAGTGCATGACGATGAAATCCTCGAAGAACTTCAATGAGTGTAATTTCCTCACTCACTCTCCTTTATACTCGAGATGAGTAGGTTAGATAATGGCGAATAATATCGTATCCATAGTATGCAAAGAATGTCGCTGTGCCGAAATAAGAAGCAGATCGAATACAACAACATGAAATGATATTTACTTGCCAGTTGTGAGAAAGATCCAGCGGGAGTGGCGATTGAAACCTCATGGCCCAGTACGCATATGTTATTGTTTGTTGAACTGAGCGGTTAATATTTCTAAGTAAAATCAATTCCCCAAGTGCCGCTTCAAGCTTAACGGTGTGCAGCAAATGTATTGATTTTTACTGGCAGGAGTTCGTGTTCCTAGAATAGGAAACGAATCATACTTATTCAAATTTGACAAAACCTGACCGCAACCGGAGCACGAGCTAGCACAAGCTAGCCAGAGGCTAGTACTTGATTCATCGGAATTCGGGAGTAGTGGCACGAACCTATCACACCGGCTTGATGCTCGATTGATCAAAGATTTCTGAAATGACGAGAAAATAAAAATCTAACCTTCTCTCTGGCATTTTTGTGGTACGGGAAACAGAATATACGCCATGAGACCCATATACTCTCTTCAATTCGCCGATGGCGAATGGTGATCTCGTAGCCTCTTTGTCATTTGCGGATTCTGCTGCTTGCAGATGCCGCCGTTATTTCGAGTACGACTTACTCCGTCATGTTCAAGAATTTCCAACTCTGTCGCGGTGAGAGCGCACCGAAACCTTGGGTAGATTTTGAATGTTAAAACAGATGATCAGGAGGTCTTCTAAACAAGTCCCGACGGATGAAAGCAAGCAAAAGGCTACCGAGAAATCATCAAAAAACAATGTCAGCCATGAGATACACCGAGTTTGTGTCATTCTAGAGCTTCAGATGTACAGGTGGTACTCACAGATATTGTCGTCTATATTGGGCATGGTAGCTCGACTCTTTACATGATGATAAATAAATATTCATCACTGAAGGAACTTAGGAAGTTGGCCACTCGACCTCACTCGACGCACGTGCTGAACGAATGTCACGCGAGAAACTGGTCCGAACAGAGAAACTCCAGCCCTCCAGCCTCCAGGTTGTCCCCTCTATCAATAACTGTACAGGTCTCTCTTCTATCCCCACAATTGCTAGCTTCAAATAAATCTTAAGAATGCCTACTATGACTACTGCTATCTCTCCCTCTGAACACACTAGCGTGGCATCTGGCTCTATTATCTCCAAAGGAACGGAAATTCTGTGCTTCGCGTCCATCATCCCAGCGCTCGCCATTATCTTCTACGTCAGCTCTCGGATCATGCATGGTGGCTCAACAAAGAAGAAGATTGAACAAATGGATAACTCAATCAATCGCGCTGCCGAATACCGAAAGGTAAGAAGATGATCTTGGAGCAATTCCTCAGAAATGTATTAATCTATGTTCTTGTTAAGATTCAATCTCCTGCTGTTCCGGACATCGAGGATGCGATTTTGAAACACCCTGAAGCATCTCACCAAGCCAAGAAAGAAAGCCGAATTCAAGACTTGCGCAGGTATTTTGGTAGCCCGCCTTCAGACCCTTCCCAACCAGCATACAAGCCATTTGCGAATCATCGTTGTTCAATTTCTATCAAAGACCCCGCTAGCTCCAAGGCTCGTCTTAGCCTACGTCCTCTGAGTTTTCTTTCCGTGATCAAGAAGAGGCATGCTAAGACCAAGCCCCCCACCCGTGATCAACCTGACCCGTATGTTACTCATTCGTCGCACGGCTTTTCGGATACGAACAGAAGGGCCTCAATCCGTCTGTGGCGGATCGCAGACGCTGTCGTGGGTGCGCATCCCCGAGCCGAGCCTCTCCATGCTCGTTTGTCCGTGCATGGGGGTGTTCTTTACGTTGGGGACAGCCGGTTGGTCTCAGACAACGGTCTGGGAATTCCTTGGTATCAACCTGCAAATAAAGAATCAGTCATCATAATTCCCGCCATTGCTAGAGGTGCTTCAATGAAGTCCGTAGGCTCAACCTCTATCACATCTACCGGATCCGAGCGAGCCCCAAACGCTGATCCCGATTCCATGGCCAATACAAACTTGGCTCCGAGAAATATTTCTATCGCAAAACCTTCTACGTGTAATCAAACTAGTGCTGAACCCGATGTGACTGTCGTCTCCAACTCGCAAGTCGTGCAGCCGGTCCTAGCCACGCCAAATTCATCTGAACCAATGACTTACTTTGCTCAAGTAAATTCCGAATCTCCCTCGTCTCCCACCAGCTGTCACCCTGCGGAATCGATTATCAGCATACCAGTCTCCGAAGTAAATAGTTCAAATTCCAACAAAGATTCAGATATCGTTTCAACCCAATCAGTGGAAATAGCACTTAATGCAAAGTCGCATCACAATCGGAGGATGAAGACGAAGGCTATCCCTTCAAATTGGGAAGAACGTGTGCCGGGATTGGTCACTATTGCTCCGCTTCCTGCCTACTCGGCAATTTCGAAGAAGGAATCGAAATCATCGGTAACAACCACAAAGAAAAGCAGCAATTTTGGGACTTATAAAGGGCCGAGATCCGAATTGAAGGTGGTCACTAACCGCCCAATTGAATTACATGAGTGTCACAAGTCGGACGTGAAGAATTCCTCGCGTGGATTGAGTGCCCGACTTCGCGCGAGCAGGAGCAGGAAGCTCACGCCGGATGGGAAAGAGAACGTCCCAGTGAGTATGGGGTCAACCAACGCTGCGTTCTGACATGCTACGATCAACAATGAATTGTTTCACATTTTATCCTGTATCTTTCATCTTTAACTAAACCAAACTCTCGTCAAACCACATCTACATCGTTTTACAACCAAAGGGAGGACATTGTTTAGTTCGTGGTCGCAGTCTGTCAGTGAAATTAACAAATCATTCGGTAATGAGCAAGTTCTTTGTGAACTCACCGTGAAGGAGGTGGTAGCAAATCCTACTCTACTGTTCGTCGTGTCGAAAACACTGTAAAATCTCTCAAGGAAAACATAGCCATCGATAAAGTCAAAGCCGGCTTCATCAGCACCTGTATAAAAAAATGAGTAAGAGTCGTATGAGATTTGAGGAAACGAATTACCAAGGTCAGCAACAACAAGGTAAATACTGCTTGCGCTTCCCCCAATAGCAGTGTTCAAGGATCTTGGCCAGATTTGAGCATTAGGGGTCAAGGAAAATTCGGTCTGGAAGACGTTATCAATCATCATTCACAGGACAAGTTGGATCCAGACTTACACCGCCAATCGTGAAAACAAGATTCTCAAGAGCATTGTACTGGGCTGTGGTGATCTTGTAAAGACCTGTCGCGTTATCTAAAGTTGCCTGTTTTACAAAGCCTGGTCAGTCAAGAATAAAAGAGTGAACGATCTGGTCAAGTGACCCACTCCGGTAGCCTTGATGTACTTGTTGAAACCAGTCTCCTCAAGGTAAAGGAGGGTAGTGCCTCTGCAAGGAAGTCATGTTAACGCACTGAGGAAAGAAATGAGTGACTAAGACTCACGTATCGACGATTCCAGACAACGACGACTGAATGGTTGTCGAACCATAAGTCACAGTCTGGGTGATACCCCAGTAATCACCAGACTTGGTTCTGCGCATTGAAACTTCAATGCTCATCCTCTTCGAGCTGTATATATGAGACACTCACGTATAGGTAATGGCCCCAGTAAATTTGGAGCTGTCAGTACCACCTGAAAACCACAGTCTTAACAAAGTGATTGGGATTTTTTGAAAGAACTCACCAAAGAACAGTTCACCATTTGTTACTTCATCCGTAGTGGTAGGTTCAAAGGAGATAGCGACAACCTTTTCAGCAATAGTGCCTTGGCTGAAAAGATTATCAGTGACAGTGGGCACGGTGGAGACACCGCTGACGGTGTCCTCAGTCAAAGTGTCGGGGCCGATCCTGGATATATTTTCATGAATGATTACCGTTCGATGAAAGCAGATTGCCTACCCTATAATACCGTCTGTACCCTCGAAGCCCTCAGATGAGGATGCTACCCCAATGGATTGAGATGTGATCACGAGGGCAGAGCTTAGGGTAACTTTGTCGATGTACTCCGTTCCTACAGTCTCTGTATGAGGAAGGGAGCTCCTGATTGCAACAAGAATGGCCACCGACCAGAGAACTCTCCGGACCCATAGCTGACAGAGACCCGATCACCGGTGTCGGTGGAGGTTGAACTGGCGACGTATTTCGTACCTGCGCCCACCCAAGTGTTGCTACTTCCCGTGTCAACAATCAATTGGTCTTAAATCGTTCGTGATTTAGTAAAAATGATTTTGGAGGACTCAAAAGCTTGCTTACACTGCGTGTCACTCGCGCCAACTCCCACGGAGGCAATGTAAGAAACAACCTCGTTGATAACGGGCTCTGCTTGCCTCTTCTTGACCGCTGCAAGATCATGAGCCTTAGCACGGTCCTTGAAGTTCTGTGCTCTTGCGAGGCCAGACGCGACTAAATTGTGTCCACTAGTGATATTGTGAATCTTCGTGAGAGGGATGGAGAGGATCGGGGAGCGGTCGATGACAACCGGGTTGGCAACGACGTTCAAAGCGAGGGTGACAAAAGCCAACAAGGAGACGGCAGAGAACATCTTGATGAAGAGGTGAAGTGGTCTAAAGCCCAAAGTCCTAAGTGATAAAGTCTAATAACGCATCCTTTTAAATGTCAAGAAGAAGCAATGAAGCAGGATCACCGTAAGTAAGCATATGGATCATGCAAGCTTGGTGGAATTTCACAACAAGAAGCTTTATTGATGTGTGAGCACTATCTTAGAGTAGAAGATACTTTAATCATGCGCACCAGGGAATCCATACGGTACCGTCGAGTGATTCCATACGGTAGCAGGCAATAGTCCATGATATTGAGCCTTTCCGGAATTGATTGGACATTCAGTTACCTTGCTGCTGGAAGCCCCGCGGCACCGATATCGTTTTATGCATTGAATTCAAAGATCAACACCGGCGTGAAGAGATAGTGATTTTATTAGCACGGGTTTTGCATGCATACAAGTAACGACGGGTTGCACCATAAGCCGTAAATCTAGTGTGACCTTCCGGAGAAAACCCATCGCGCGAGTCAAAGAGATGTGGGTTTGATGTAACTGGACAGTGGAGAAGCATGTAGGAACATTTCTCAACGTGAAATCCAAATGGCGTCCTATGGCGTTTTGACTTGTGAACTTGAAAGAGCGCAAGGAGTCCCATAGATCACATTGGCAATGTGATAAAACCAGGACCCGCATTGCAGTTCGTGAAATTTCCTCAACTTGCACCATGTAATGCAAAGTTAACGAAGGTAGAGAAGTCACCAGAGTAAGTAATTCTTATCATGAATGCAGCCCACTAGGTCCGATTAGCATTTAAGCGAGAGGCGCAAGTTCTGTGGGGAAAGGCCAAAGATAAAATTCTGGTACAATGATTGCGGACAGTAAATCGCAAAATGTTAAGACTCGGAAGCACTCGCTGCTTTGAGCGCTTGAGCGATCACATGCATTCCTGAATCCTAAATCCCAAATTGGCAATCAACACTGCTGCCTGCTTCCACCTTGTCCAACTCGACGTTCGTCACATATCGCTATGGATAATTCTTATCAATCCCAGTCATCGTCGCCTCGTCGGCCAGATATGAAAAGGAAACTTGTCGTAGTAGGAGATGGTGCGTCATAATGCTGGAGTTCGTTCCACAATCTCAGCTAATCAGCTTTATCCTTAAAATCTCCAAGGTGGATGTGGAAAGACTTGCTTACTGATCGTGTACGCGGAAAATCGGTTTCCAGAGGTGATTCTCAAAATCATATTAGCCTCCAGTATTCTATCCTAATCTCATCTCGTGTATACTCTGAGATTCGCAGGCTTATATCCCAACAGTATTCGAAAACTATGTGACACAGGTGCAATTTGAAGGGAAGGAGATAGAGTTGGCGCTATGGGACACTGCAGGGCAAGAAGAATATGACCGATTAAGACCGCTCAGCTACCCAGAAAGCGATGTTATTCTCATTGTGTTTTCCATTGATTTTCCAACCTCTCTTGCCAATGTCCAAGACAAAGTACGTTATTCAATCATTATACGAAGAACAAATGTTCACTGTGCTCTTCAGTGGTATCCTGAAGTGGCACATTTCTGCGAAGGCACACCCCTCATCCTGGTCGGAACCAAGACGGATTTGCGAAGCGACGACCAGACGAAACGTATGCTCGGAGCTCAGGGTCAAACACCAATATCACCTCAGCAGGGTGCTGCTATCGCGAAGGAGATTGGCGCGAAATACATCGAATGTTCAGCAAAGACCGGGAGGGGTGTACACGACGTTTTCAATCTTGCTCTCAAGGAGAGCATGAAAGGGCGATGGGGGAAAATTGTCAAGAAACGGCGCTGTATCATCGTATAACCTTTCACTTTCAACGTTTCCTCCTCCTTGCTCGCGCTGATGACGAACGGATACGCGCATGGACACGACTTTGATATCTATCTGCTGCTTTGCATCTTATTTATAATATTCTACTTGCATATGCTTCATATTTCACCACAATACCTGCCTCCAATTCAAGCAAAATTAGACGCAACGTCAGGCAATGTCGCGCCAATTTGTTACCAGAGCGATTCCAGTAATGGCATTGGTTGTGGCATCATCCATTGATTGTACATTTGCAGATATTGCAGTTGTACACTCGAGGAGAAAAATATATAATCATGCGACGGGCATTTGCAAAACGAATAATTTACTCATATACTTGGAGAAGCGAAAGAATAGATAAAGGTTCAAAAGTTCAAAATAAACTCGTCGTGATAGTAGATGATCGGGAAACAGGTCTTGAAGGGAATGGCGATACACGACCCCTGGATCCGGCACTTACTGGGCTATCAGAACTGTAGTCCTCAGCGGGTGTAATCGGTATCGGAGGGAGAGGATGATTCCTCGAGGAGGCAGCCACTGATACAGACCTCCGACTACTAATGGTCTCTCTCGAGGGCGGAAGAACCGACGCGGAGCGACCCTGAGGTGGAACAACTTTCGTATTCGACGATTGACGACCACGATGGCTTTCCGAACGGTCAAGAGACTTTTCAAGTTCAGCTTTGACTATCGGAACAGCTACAGCAGGAAAGGGATGCTTGTTGATAGATTGAAACCGCACATGCATGGTTGAGGGAGCAGGGGAAGCAACCTTGCTTCTGATGAGGATACTGGGTCCTGGCGATGGGGTCCGTGATACCGAATCACTATTTGGAACCGGGTGAAGGGGAGAGCTGCGTACCACATGAGGAGGCAGTGGCGGCAAAGGGGCTTTCGGGGTTCTGGCTCCGGACACAGAACGGGAACGTCTCGATACAGCCTTCGAAGCTTCCTTGTTTGATTCAGTTAATAAATCATTTTTCGGAACACTATTGGCTTGTATCGGAGGAGAGATAGACTCTGTCAATCGTTCACTTGGTAGAAAGACCCACGGTGTAGTAGCCACGACCGGTTCTGGTGCTGCTAGTAGAATCTGATCTTCTGTACTACTGTCCTGATTGAATCGCGTCTGGGGAAGGGCTGAGTCCACATCCGCTGATATCGTGGAAGGAGTGAAAGCATCAGAAACTTCGCCATATGGGCGACTACTGGTGGCGGATGGCGCTTTCATTCGCTGAGCAAGCATGCGGGCATCTGGAAGGGGTACATCAAGGATGATAGGACGTCGCATGGATGATGAACCGTTCCTGAAACGACCAGCCATATCTGGAGCCAGAGCGAGGGTATCAGGACTTCGCAGTGAAGAATGGGACGACACTTTCTTTATCGATCGATTACCGGCGTCAGTTTTCTGATGAAGTGCAGAAGTCGAAGCGTTCTTCTTGTGCGATGGGCGAGGAACTGCAGAAGGGGGTACTTGGTTCCGGTCAGTATGCTTCAAAGGTACATTCGAGCCTTCTTTCTGGTGTTGTCTGGGAATCACACTATCCGAAGCCGATGAAGAGACATGGGGGCGATAATTCGAAAGATTTTTGTCAGAGGTCTTTCCTTTGAACGATGGCAGGGATCCAGTGGGGTTCTTTCTTGCCGCCAACCTTTTCGCTAAGGTGGCTACATCGGGAAAGGGGTGCTCGACAACAGGTATTCTGAAGGAACCTACTGATGATGACTTGTTATGAACCTTGACAGCCGGTCTCGCGTCGCCTGAGCTCATAGAAACTCCCTTTCTGTGCGTAGGAAGAAGCGCTTCCCGAGGCATAGACATCTTAGGTGCGGGTGATTGTTGTCGGGGATTTGTGACTCGGAAAGGCGAAGGGATCCGGTCTACGGACGGGAAATCCACTTTTCCACCTACACTTTGAGAATATAGTGGGAAGCCTGAGAAAACATGCTTATGAATTATCTGATGTAAGAGAATTTAAAGCACTTACCACTAGAGGAGACTTGAGCAATGTCTATTTTCATATGGTCCTTATGAAGAACGAGGGGCGTCGACACGGACACGGGAAACGAATCAGTGAAACGAGCGGAAGTCAACGAGGCTTCGACCTCTCTAGTACCTGAGGCGTTTGACTCTACCGATGGAGCTTGCCCTACGTTCTCTTGTACTTCAGGACCAGTAATGATGATGTGCAAATCAGATTCCAGAGGGGGTCGAATTCGAGTAGCAGAGTCCTCTCGCAAGCGTTTGGCTAAGGTAGATGCATCGGGAAAATATACAGTTGGAGTGAGCCGTGGCATGGAAGATCTAGAAGATGACTTTTGTAAGCCTCTCTTAGGTCCAGGTGAAGGCGAATTAAGATGGGTTGATCCTGGTAACGGCTCCGATGCACTGGGCTTATGTCTTGAGATAGCAGGTGGGGACAAAAGTTCCTTCATTCCTGGTAATGATTCCAACGCATGCAGCCTTTCAAGAAGAGGGGAAGGAAGAGGAGAGATTACATTTGTGCGACTGGGCCGTGCAGGAGCCCCAGCTGTTTGCTCTTCCTCATTTGATTGAGTAGGGGCAGGTAAAATTGATACTTTCTCCTCCAGCTTCGCTCCATTAGCTGGAAAGATGAACTGAACTTCTATCATGAGGTACCAAAATGGAGCAGGACGAACCTTTCCCTGTCTCTTTCACTTCATCAGCCTTATTCTCAGGAGCTTTCGATTGCTGCATTATGGGGATCGCTAGAGGTTCTATTATCTTCAAACCCTCTATAGGACCCTGCAATTCTTGGATTGCATTGGCGGGCAAAGCAGGTAAAGGACTATCCAAGGGTAACGGTGGCGGTGGCGGCATTCTAGTACGCAGCGCTGATTTCTTCGTTCGAAGTGATGCTTCCGAAGAAGCGACATCAGAGTGTGCTTTGTGGGAGCGCGGGAAGGGCGAAGCAGATGGATGTCCCAATGTCGACCGGCTTTCCGAATCAGATGGGAGGGAGCCGAATGACGGATTTGATGCACCGACGGCTGCCGATACTATCATTGTCGTAGGAGGGGAAGTAACTTTGAAAGGAATCATGGGCACTGGTGGAGGTGGTGAATGATCTCGAGGAACTTGGGGCAATGGTCGAACTTTCCCATTTTTCCGACTGCCCGAAAGGGCTGCGTCTTTCTTCACCACGTCTGACTTCATTTGTGAGGATGCACCTTTCAGCTTCGGTTTCAGGTCTGGATTTACGAAATTGGCCGGAAGTTCAACTATCCTTGAAGTGAGCTCTGATTGCAACTGCCCTGAAGGGAAATTCGAAGCAAAAGCCGACTTGGGAGGTAGACGAGGCCGCGAAGGAAACTGCAGGTCCGATGGCTTGAATGAACGATCGAGGTGTCCAGACGTTTTCGGGAGTTTCGGACTAGGCTTCGGGGAATCTCCGTATAATTCCAAAATGCTCCATGTAGCCGAGGCGCTGACGACGGTGATACTGGCAGGGGACGACTTTGCAGGAGACTGTATTGTCACGACTTGAGTTATAGTCGTGGTTGTTGTCCGAGTAGTAGTCGAGATTGTTAATGGAGGAACATTACGCCTGGGCTTCATGACACCCGGTTGAGACGAATCCCCCTGTGTTTCCAAGAGGGGAAATGCACGGGTGACGGCATGCATAGTACTGCCAATGCTTTCAGCTGAAGGCTGACTACTACTGGGACTCTCTTCTCGAAAACTGTATTCGACCCCTTTCGGTGTGGGCAAGGCACGGAAAATATTCTGGTGTGACCATAGAATCGACATCCTCTCCCCAGCTTCAGGCGATATGTTGTTCGAAGATTCCATGAGAGCGACGAGAGACAGCGAACTGTGCGGACCTTCGTCTATATCTTGCATTCCTCGCCATTTGACAGGAGCTTTGACGGATTTCAAATTCGAGCGCAGACTATCCTCGTCGGAAATGGTAGGAAGGGATGAGTTCAATGACGGCGTCGACGATGCGATTGACGAAGAATCCGACATCGATGAAGCAGATGAAAGGTACGGCATAATGCGATGTCTGCTCTCAAATGGTCTGAGCGTGAAAGCTTCCAACTGAAGCTTTGATCTTCGTTTAAGATGATAACCTTCTGGAACTCGTGCACTGTTCGGTCTTCTCTTCTTGGTTGAAGATCCGGAGATATGAACCACATTACGACTCTCCCCACCCTCATTTTGAGCTGAGCCTGATATCTTTCATAAATGACAGAATGAGAGTTTGACACAGAAACTGACCTTTCAGTATACTGGACATACTACTCCCTGAATTGAGGCCTAGAAATTTGATTTAGAATGTATCCTAAGATGAAGATAAAACCCTCACCGGAATCAACAGCACCCGCAGAGTCCGCATTTCTTTCCTCGTCAAACTGTATACTCCAAACGTCCGGGTTGTTGAAAATTTCATCTACCATGGCGCTTTCAGGCGATTTCCCAAAACCTACGCTTGACATATTGCTCAGTCCCGAAACGAGCCCATCTTCCAGAAGTAACGGATCCAAAGGTCGTGAATGAATGGGAATAGACATGGGGCCTGCCATTAATGAAGTAGTAGAAAGAAAGAATCGAATAAGAGCTGCCCAGCAGTCTCAGGAAAGAAAAGGATACGCCAGCGGATCTGATAGGGTCTTATACTTGACAAAGATGGCAGCCCTGGACGGAAACCGGGTGGAAACCTGTGGAAACACAAGAAGGCGTAAGAATTCCTGTGGCCCCTGGTACTTAACTCCCCATTAGTGCTGGGTAACCTGGTTGAAACTGTACAGATGGCGAGGAGTTCTCTATCGGATCAATATCATGAAACCGTCAAACATTCGTCACGGTAGATGGCACTGCCTTTTCTTGAATGACTGGCTGTGAAGCCCAGCGTATCAGAGCATATCGTGATTATATTCAGCTGGTTATAGATGGCACTGAGTGCTGAGTAGATAGATAATTAGTTTTTAAGGATTCAGTTGAGACAAGTTGAGGGAGGAAAACTTAGGATTGGTATGATAATACAGTGCTGGAAGTATTGCCGCCGGCGACAAACGAGCGCTAACAGGCGGTAACGAGCGGCGGAAGCGAGGCCAACTTTCTTTCACCGTTGAGTGATGTCATTGAAAAGACAGCTTGAAATCCGTGAAGAGTCCAACAAAGACATCTTCGTTGTTCGAACACGGGACCTTCAGAAAGGAAAAATCAACAATTGAGACTGGCTTTAGTTTGTTACTACTTACTGTGATACCTCTGGGAATTCCCGGCATAAGTTAATTTCTATTTCGTAATTGGACGCCGAATTCTAGATCTTCCAAGCCCAACTGCCCCCAAACGGTATGCCCGCATCTCTATATCGACCCTCCACAACCGTTTTTTGGCCTCTCGATTGCAGAGAATCTGGCTATGTATTCGGCTGGTGCAACAACAACCAACGCGTACAGTCTATCGTCGTAACAGGTGTTGTACAAATTCTTACATTAGCGGTGGACTTGGAAGTTCGAGCGGTGCTACAACGCCTTAATGACAAACGACAACAATACGCATGCTTAGCCGATCTTGGGGAGCTAAAAATACTCGGGAGATGTGGTTTTGACTATTGGGGAAGAAGCGACCTTGTAGTTCCAGAACTCAAGTTGGTTGATATCAGGTGTGTTTATATCCTCAGCCATCAGCACCATCTAGTTTATGTATGCATGATGCACAGAGCAACCGGATATAAAATAGTGTACTATCATCGACATCCGGCTAGTTCGCTCAGGTTTTACTCTATAGACGCGTTCAACGATATTGTCACACCAATGTCAAGACAGCGCAGTGGTATCAACCAGGATGTGGTTAAACAAGTGCGCTGTTGTGTTTGTACCCATCGTATATCTGATCATAAGTTCATATTAGCTCAACGTAGCAAGCATAATCAATACTGCAGTACTTGAGCCTTCATCAACATCGTCCGTGCTGAATGTGACGCATTCAAGCTCGACCATGAACCGTACCACAAAAACGATCACAACCCAAATGTCAGATCTGCTATTCAACGCCCTCCTCATGTCGCAATCAACTTTTTCTCGGCCGGCTCAATCCATCTGTAATGCACACGTCTTGTCGAAATTCCCTTTGAAAAACATGTCATTGAGCGGTGAGTACCGGGTATTCGTTTGTACGATTTTACTTCTCATTTCGCAGTGCAGCAAATGGACGTTCGCATCGAGCAACTAGCCATTCTTTTGCGCCAAATGGCTGCTCTCCGATTGAGAAAAGAAGGTGGCCGGGTTGAGATTTATTCAAAGGAGTACACCAGGTCTGTCTGAAGTTAGTTTTTGACTCTGCATTCATCATAGGTCGACACAAAGCTTTTTCAACACTGTCTGGTTAATCCTCAATGATATAACGATTGGCTATGCTTTTGGAAGATTTCTTTGTGAAAATCACGAAGTGTTGGCTACAATGTTGAAAGAATTTGTAGAGGTAACTTCGATTCATTGTTACAAAAGCCTCTTATGAATTTCTTTGCAGGACATTCTCATATTGTGGCCTCAGCGTGCTCTCTGCTGGCTTGATTCATGGCCTGCTGGCCTAAAACTCAACACAGAACTCAGTAGCTTCTACTCAGGCACATTCGTTGATTTAGTCAATGTTTGGGGAGGTCAGTGTCAAATGGCGAAGTTCTTTGTGCCTCATTTATTTTCTATATCTTCATCCTGTCTGCTATCTTTTCCATTTTGATTTCGATTCACAATTTTTTTCGCCATTGTTGAAATTAAAGAGTCTTATCACTCGCTCCTTGCTCTGCACACCTGTAGGCGTCCTCCGGCACATCATATTCCCTTATCCTTATCTCTCGAATACGATCTATATCTTTGGACTTGTCTCCTCTTTTGGTGCCCTCATCGGTTCGTTCGTTTTCAACGTTTTTTTCTCTCAATAACCTGAGCCTGACCTTTTAGGAGGTATGGGCGGAATGACCATGTCCATTGCACTTTTCTACGACATGTTCGTGTTTTTTACTCTGCATATATATGTGTGCTACGTCATAGCAGTGGTAGCTTTTGAGAAGGCGCTATGGGGCTTGGGGAGTTTGTGGCGTTTGTTCCGAGGTGAGGATTTTGATAATTCTTCTGTTTTCATTTTCTGATCACCTCCACTTCATACGCTGAATGCACTCATCTCAGGAAAACGCTTCAACGTACTAAGGAATCGTACTGATTCCTGGGAATATGACATTGATCAACTTTTGTTTGGCACAATCCTGTTCACCCTATTGGCATTCTTATTCCCCACAGTGTTGGCTTATTACGCTCTATTTGCCCTAGTAAGTGTTAACTATGCCGACAACGTGTGGCACACTCAATTTCCTCATTTACTCCATAACTCTTACACTAATTCAGTACTGACCAATCATCTTTCCTCAAATATACGTAGTCACGACTAGCGATGATCCTCACCCAAGCAAGTTTAGAAATACAACTTGCGTTCATGAACCACTTTCCGCTATTCACGCTAGTGTTAAGGTTAAAGGACCCTTGGCGTATACCTGGAGGGATGTATTTTGACTTTGTCGAAGTGATTGTGCATGCAGACGCAAACGAGGTTGCGAGTGCTGGTGAAGATGAATCTAATTCCAATGAGGCGAGTTGGAGATCAAGACGTCAATTTGAAAACACAAAGGACCCGGTCACAACCCTGATTCCCGTCATGAAAGTGAGTTCCCTTCTGCCCCGCCTTTTCCCCTTCGACCCTCTTCACGTTCGCCGCCCAAATGGCAGCGGATGTGAAAGATACACGGATGACGGAGCTCAGAGTTTTCCTTCCTTGGAAAAAGCAATTGTTGTTTGGTCACTGACAGCACCTTCAACGTGTGTAGAATCAACCGGTGACATTCCAAAGAATCTTCTTCCAATATGGTAAGTCATTCCTTCGTTTTTTCCGAGGACAAGCTTGGGTTTTTTCTCCCCGTTTTATGATCAACGTTTAAGATTTATTACATCGACTCTGGACTGACATCTAACTGGTAGCACGTTTATGGTCGCAACTTGCCTCACACTATCACCCTTTTCGGTTAATCAAATCTCTGCTATTGGGAAGATTGCTGGTACCTATACCTGTGTATGAAATTAGGTACGACAAGATAGGTAATCATAGCAAGGAGTTATAGCAATGGGATGAACCTCAAATCACACAAAGTAGTCCTTGTAAGATCGTGTATCGTGTGTACAGAGAAAAGTAACTAATGAACATATATCAGTAATCAATCATACATCATATAAACAGCAAGGTGGGGGCAATGTCGATCACGCTTCTTTCGCAGTGTATATTTTGCGCAAGCCCTAAGTTGGACCTCGTTAGGTTGAATTTTGAGTATGAGGTTTCGAATATCGGATCGAGAGAGCGACTACATACCACCCTGCACACTCCGAGCTTCCAAATTCCGCTCAGAGTTTTACCCAAAATGTAAGGTTCGGCGGCTGGCATACATGCGTCACAACCCCTCTTAGACACCGGGAAGTGAGGAGGGAATTGACCTTTATGTGCTCATTCCCTTGATCTGTGGGAGAGTAAGTACTGTGGAGTCACGGAATAGAAGCCCTTACGGTCGACGATACATCTGAACGAGGAGAGGGAATAACCACATCGGCTTTTAGGATCGACAAGCCAAATGCAGCAGTCCTCGCCTGTCGTGAAAAAAGCGGGACGCCATTCTTTAGTGGTCGGTTCGTTGGTAGGCATCTGTTTAAAGCTTTGTGTCTGAGAGATATATAGAGAATAACAAGGAAGGAACTATGTGACGATACTGGCGCTTTATATTGGGTTAGAAGCGGAGAAAGAAGGGTGCGATTGATCCTGGATTGATCTATCGAGTCTGCAGCAACATCTTGAGGTGCGGCGGCGGGTCCGAAAATTTGAGGTATGAAGCATCACGTTCAACATGTAAAAGCGAGTTAAACCCAGTATTTCCGCTTTTCAAGAACCTTTCGTCTTCTCTATGGCGGCAGAATTCATCAAAAAATATTGCTCCAACCGATCAAACATTGCCGTGGGACTTTCGACTTGGGCATCTTGACTTTGACTTTTTGCCGTCCTTTGCACATTGCGTGCAAGAGCATGAAAGTCGATATGTTAAGGATAGAGCAATTTTGCATAATTTATAACGTATTACTTTCAACAAGTTTAGTGACTATTTGAGCTTCACACTGGTATACTATTGCATCTAGATGCTCTGAATTAAATTTGTTACATCAATTAGAAAAGAATTGGCGTTGAGTATCAGCACAAATTTCAACCACTGTCATCAATTAGCGTCTCAAGTGGTGACAATTTGTGATTTTTGATACAATATTTGTTGTTCCAGGATCTCAAGCAACTCGGTTGAGATGGCTCTTAAAATCGTCGTTAGACGTATGGTTTGCCCTTCCAGAAGAAGTGTTTTTCCTCCCATCTGGTCGTTCTTTCTGCTTCCTCTTCGCATTTGTTTTGTTTTTGTATCATTTTCCATCATATTGCCACATCCTCATCCTCTTGCCATCGGTGAGTTTCTGTTGGAATCCAACCCATATCTTCATCCGAATTTGACCACTTTTGTAGAAACATGTCCGGACTTGATCCAGGTCAAGTTGAGGCCTTCCTCCGAAGTCACCCCGGCCTCCTTGCACAGCTTTTTCAGCAATCACAAGTTTCTGCGCATTCTACTCAGCCTCCGTCACCTGGTGTCATCACCTTGGATCCAACTGCAGCCGTTACTCATCATGGCGGAGCAAGCAGCATCTCCCCAAGTCAGCCTAGCGGTAGCACTACTGTGCCGGGAGCTGTTACATCTGCTTCATCGACCATGTCGGGGGTCATGGCTCCTGCTTCTTTTGCTGGGATTTCTTCCAATCGGGCAGTGCCATCGTTGTATTCTTTTAATCAACCCGATCCTTCTTCACCCATGAACCCCTCAATATCTCAGCCAAATTCCTTTATCCCTACTCCTCTAATCATTCCGCACTCTGGCGTCCAGCCCAGTCCTCCTATTGCTTCTGCACCTCCAATAACTCCGTACTCTAGCATCCAGCCTGGTCCTTCTACAGCTCCTGCACCTCCAATAACTCCATACTCTGGTGTTCATACAATGCTGGGACGGGTTGTTGCATCATCGGAAGGGCAAGGGCATCCTCGGACGGTCACAGCCTTCCCTAGCATTACCACAATCAATCGTGCCAACAATGATAGACGTGCTCATGCTGCTGCTAGCCGCTCTGCAGGCTCCACAAGAACTCGCAGCAAGGCTAAGAAGCCCCCATTGCTGAAGGGACCTGGACCTCGGAAAATCGAAGATTGTATCCTCATAGATCAGAGTGGTGTTCCAGTGGTTCGACTAGATATTCTGATTTACCCTGGGTTTCCTTCGGTGGATGATCGTAAGGTGTGTATGCTGAGGCTTGCCAGTTCTGTAAACTCAAACTTCCCTTCTATAGAATTCTGCAATTGGACTGCCAGACAGTATTTATCGTTATCTCCAACACAATGATGCTTTCAGAACAATTCTTCAATCACTTGACCTCGTCTACCAATTTGATGCCCTTCCTACTAGTACATCCTTGCTCCAGTTATTACAAAACCTCAAAGAACGACTTCTCAGCTGCGGGTTTGTTTTTCCACCAATGGCTTCAGACTCAATTTTCCAAGACCACGAGCGCCTTGCTATTCAGCCCCTTGCTTATGTTGGTAGGGGTAATCCAAACAACAACGCTCGCACCCCTCGTCTTACCCCTGGAATTGTCACACCTACTATGACGCTTCAGGATTTACTCGATGATGTCAGAAAGTATGCAATTCCAAAATATGCGGTTACTGAAGATAATCGTTTCTTGCTTTGTACCAGTGCGTCCTTCACAGGAGCTAGATATATTTTAGTCTGATTTTCAATTTATAGTCCTCCGGTCCAATCAAGTTGCTCGTACAGTGAATCTCCATCGTCTTCATTTAGGTTCTGAAGATGCTGAAAGAGTGCACTTCTGCCTGCCTCATCGAATATATGGGTTGTTGAAAAGGGACTTCGATGCTAACGTAGATGTGGGTTATCAAGCGCTCGATGAGGAAGAACTGGAGCTAGCTTGCTCTGAACATCATGAAGACGATGCGGTTAGTTTCCCAAATGGTTATTGGAATTCATGTTTACAATTTACAGGATACTCGAGTTATTGCTCAAATGTTAACGCTTCCAAGGGAAAACGATTCCGATGGTTAGTTGTTTGACTCATTGCATTTATACCGAAGTGGAACTTCCATTGTTATAGGTCGCAGTACAAGTTCGACTGCAGTAGTCCTTCGTCGAAGTCCTCGTTTCAATGCCAGCCTAACAGTCAGTTGTAATTTTCACTGTAGATGTTGTTACCGGTCTCAATTCTGGTAGGTATCGTCAACTCAGCTATTGTGGTCTACAGCCTGGAGCCCTCTTCCACGGCTCGAAGCTCTTCCTGAGTTTACTGAGCCATCGCGGAAGTCGTATATCATCAATGCCATTAATACCGCCTATCAAGCTACTCACGGAAATGATATACCAGGGGTCTTTGTGAAAGGGGTGGATTTCGAAGCTCAAGTATCGGAGTTGGAGAAAATAATGGAAAAGGCTTTGGAAGATGATGATTGGACCTTGTTGTTTTCAAACTCACGACATTTTGTCAAGTGCGTATATTGTTCTTTGTATCTTTCAAAGATCATCCTTATCCTTTACTTAGGACTGACATCGATGCTTCTGGAGAAGAGGTATGGGTGACTTCAGGTGGTGGCTTTGAACGAAGCGTATTGCTTCTCCTCTTCCAGAAATACTTTGAAAAACGGTTTGAAGAACTATGCACACCACTTATCGACTGTTATTATACCCTCTCAACCGTCCCCATGTCCTCTACAACACCCATATCTGAGACCAAACGTCGGGATTTGGGACTATTTGGTGCAACCGTGGCCCTAGCCCTGGTTAACGGTTACCTTCCAGAGAAGCTCAATCCGCTTCTGCTAGTGTATTTTCTCTCAGACTGCCAGTTTGAGTGTCTAAATAGGACTGCAGTCATGGATCTTTTCCCGGAACTCGGTGCAACTATAGACGACTGGCTTTCAACGCCATACGACAACGACTCTAATTTGAATAGATTTCAAGCACATTTTGCCACGTATCATAACATGGAGGTGCAGCTTGATATTTGACATTCCGTCTTGATCTCATTCAGGAAATGCCATACAGACTTCCGCTCTGACCAATCGTACAAAAGAAATGCACAACTCTATTGCCCATCATATGCTTCACAATGCCATTATTGGCCCGGCTGAAATAAATCATCCATACTTCCAGGCTTTTATAAAGGGATTCAGACTTTCCTGCAAAAACCACTATACCTTACCACAGGCAAGTCTTATCGTTGTGGGAGAACACACACTTAATTATTGCGTCATAGATTTCCCGCAGCTTTGCAGGAGGTTCCTATGAATTTGTTATGCATCTATCAAAGACGATGATTAAGGATTTGAATTCGCTTCCAATACGTTATTTCAATCAGACTACGGCTTCAACAAATACGGTTCTTCAAAATGCATATCGGGTAGTCTTTGGGGGAGAGTTTGTGTTTGATGCATGGTTTGAAGACTTCTTACTGGGATTAGGAACGCCTTGCCCAACCTTACTCAACTCCGCCAAGGATCGTTTCAGCTCGGTTGTAAAGCTAGAGGATATCTCAGAAAGCACATTCCGGCTGCGTTCATTTGCTTGGGCAATATCGGGTGTTCCTCGGCGTATTCTGGATTATCTCAAGCTGGAGGTATGTACTTCGTACCTTTTGTGCAAATGGGCAAATAATAATTTTATTCATAGGTTTATCTAGTTGAAGACGACGATGCTCAATATGGGCCTGGAGAGGAGCACTCCGCGTCTTTACGACAAGAGTATCTGCGGCATGGAACTTGCTCCTTCCGTACTTGCCTGCGCGAAATGCGCATTCCTGCTTCTTATCTTATTCGACTTCTGAATGCCAATTATTCTCCACAATCCGAGCCCGCTACTGCTTATCAAGCCATTCATAACTGGCTGCTCCTGCAGATTCTTGAAGCAATTGGGGATTATACCATAATTTAATCTATATACAACCCCGTTTTGACAATGCTATAATATGTGTATACTGCTCGCAATATCTGTATAAAGAATACGACCTAATATCGTTCAAGCCACTGGTCCCGACTTAATTTGCACAAGGAATGTTCCAACATAAAAAAATCGAACCCAATCTGCTTCTTAATTGGTGACAGCTTCCGATCACAATCTAGACGATGAAAAAGCATAATGAAGGCGGGGACAACCTCTACTTCAGAGCTGCTGGAAGCAAAGCCAAGATTGAGAAGCCCATGTAAAGCGCCTTTGTCGAGTTTCGGGATTATGGCGGCAATCTCTTGCAAGGAAGGATGTGGAATACGTCCAGCATAGACCAAATCTACGGCAAAGAGATATGCAGAGAGAACGCCAAAGGTTACAAATAGAGATTTTGAGTCGTCGCCTTTGGTATTAGCAATATAGTCAATGATTTGGGTGAACGTTATGCCGGGCTCTTGCAGTTTTGCGTGTAGTTTAGCACTGGCAATCCAAAACCGATGAGCGTTGTGATGTGAGCGTCCATTGGTCCGACCAAATGCGGACTTGTTGCAGAAATAATCATCTCCTTTCTGCTCATGACGAAGGACAAACTGCTTCCATGCCTCCCATGAATCAAAAAAGCCTCCGTTGTCTAACTCCCAAAGAGCAGGGGTATTGAATAGGATGCCCCGAAAGATGAGACCACTAAATATACCCTCACGGGTGCTGATTCGATGGTGATCAAAAAGGCCGTCGGCCTGTTGGACTTTGAGTCGAGAAGTGGCCAGCTCACGAAAGGGACAATTGCGATCTAGATTATTGAGAACATGAATCTGAAGCGCGTTCAAAGGCTCAGCGGCGTGATTAGTAGGCACCACCTGAGCGATCTCGATAAGACAATCGCGGAACTTGTTATAGCGTTCATCTTGCGTCATACCCGTAGCAGCCGGATACGGTCCAATTGAAGAACTAGTGGATGGGATGGTGGTCTCTAGTGCTTCACGACTCGATGGCGAAAGGTTGATGAAGCGGAAATGTGTGGTTCGTAAACGCTCCAAAAGTTGCTGAGTCTCTTCAGAGCGAGTATTTCCCAGAATTGGGTGGCAGCTAATATCAGAGATAAATCGCTTCTTATCTCTTCCTGAAGGGAGGGAGTTTCTTGAAGGTGAGGGAAAATGGCGTAATTGGGAAGGGAAGTTGTATGCATGCCAAACGGCGTCTAGTAAAAGAATACTGGGATTCTTTGTTAAAGCCAGTAGCGTATTTAGAAAGAATGAACGGATAGAATGACGACCATCAGCAGGGAAATTGAGCCAATGGAACACAACTGCTGAACAGACGTCTGTTTTCAACAAACGTTGGCTTCCACGTATCCGTTGTGGACGTTCAACCGTCCACTGGAAAGTCCGAGGGGGGTTTATTTGAGGAAGGAAGTGGGAAGAATCGAAGTTGTATTTGGTTCCAGGTACCCCTTCTTGCACCGCAGTTTCAATAAGGCAAAGAAGTCCGTTCCACCATGACGTCGATGGATAATCCAGGCTAACATCAATAGACCTGCAAACCCATTCATGAAGACGATAATGAGTGAGCATGATGGTATGATGAAGCAGAAGTGCACTAGCATCGTGGACTCTGGAGTTAGTTTCCAATTGTGCGATTAGAGGCCAAGCGCCAGCTGCTAATCGCATAGTGCTAGTCTCCAGAGGAGCTTTTTCAATAGCTAAATGAAGTTTCTCAACTTGGAGAAATAGTTCATGCATACTGGGGCTGCGATCCAGAAGTAGACCTGCAATACCACCATCCAGGATGTCAATGACGTATAGAAGCGAGTCTATGGAAACTTGATTCAAGAACGGAATTTGAAAAGCTACGACAAGATTAGCTTTATTTTAGCCATTGTGCAATAACATACTGGGGTGATTGGAGTTTTTGTTTAGCAATTGCAATCCAGAGTTGCCTTGAGATAATGGTTCAGTGGTTAGGCAAATCTCAGTAAAGTTAACGTTACCGGCTGGATGATTTTCTGCAGAGGTACTGGCATTAATAGAATTATTATCCGCAGGAGAATCAAGATCTAGGGGACATATCAGGCTACAGATCCTAAATAAATGTAGTATGCTTGGTTTGGCCCACCTATTGCTACTGGTGAGGGTACTGGACTTGTTTATTAGAAAGGCATGACGAACGATACAATGGCGACTTACCATCAACAGAAACGGCGAAAGCTCTTTTACAGTACTTGTCAAACATAGGTCCTTTGCTAATAATAGATCAAGATTGCAGCATGAGAAGCATTAAGTTGAAGGAAACATACTCGATTTGTGACTCATGAATCCACTCCTCTTTGAGATAATTCTTCCATTTTACAAGATACTCATAACCGGCCTGCTATGGTCTTCGTTAACAAAATAAAATGATATACAAATGCATATTACCTTGGGTTTGGTACTCAAACGATGAGAAACAAAGCGTTCGACCTCAAAACATTCATCCTCCACCTCTGAGGAAGGGTCCTCTAAAATGAAGAAATTGTTTTATTATTGAAATGTGAGATCAAAAATACTTACCGTTTTCACTGAGGCTTTGTCGTTTTCGTTTCTTCATATTGTTCATCTGCTTGACAGGATCGAAGTTGAGTACTTGTGGAGCCTGGTGGGCCGCACCGATGATTTCAACTGATTTGGAATCGATGATGAGCCGCGATAAATAAATGAGATCAATACCACGTACAAGCACTGGTCCGGTGCACATTCTTACTTTTCCTTCCTTTTCTTGACTTTGCGAGAGCCTTCTTATGAGATGCCTTTTGTGCAGCAAGAATGACCTTTCTGGTTTTTGGTGGCAGCGCAATATGTCGTGGTAAAGGTATTGCTACAAAGCAATAAGACGTTTGAGTAGTATATGTTCAGAATATGTGCTTACCAATCGGAGAAAGTTTATAGCTGCGAGAAGCAGACGGAATGATTTGTTTTCGTTTATTGCAGTGCTCTATCCATTGAAGATGTGCTTTCTGACGGTGGTTAAGGAGCTGTGGATCTAGAAACGGCAAACCATGAAGATATACTTAAATGCATATGGCGCTTGACCTACCAACGTCTACCGATGGCTCGCTCCAAGGTGAACTATCTGGAGCAAGCAGCCATGGGCGGGCCCAATATTTGATCATGTTTTCCGGGTCTTGGATATACCAGTCTTGACGATATCGTTCAAAGTTGCCACACATTCCGGGGCATATACGTTTCTGGTGATACAAAGTGTGTAAAAAGAAAGACCGGGCCAAAAAGTCAATTCTGGCTTGAGGAGGCACAATAAGAGCACCATCATCAATGAAGTTTATTTCATTTGCAGAGGTTAAGGTGCCATCAACCAGAGCGCTACGGCGCATGTAAGCTCAAGAGATAGACCATATATTTGAAAGATTATACTCAGGGGGTTCATAGTCCAATTTTGAGTCTGAGTCCGAGTCAAAACTGTGACGAATCGTCAATACTATATGATATGGATAACCCAAACATACCTTTTGCTGGCCCTAGCAGTCACATCGCGCATCTCTGGGGTTAGTTGCATCGGGATACCATTTGAGTCAACGGATATATTCATGCTGACCCGACCATCCAGAAGGGCAGCCTGAGGATATAACACAACCACCCAGCGATATGCCCAGGGTGGGATCTCTACACCAGTCGGTGCCAACGGAGGTGTACCGCCATGCAGTCGGAGACCAGTAAATGTCACCATGGTTGGTCCATTCAGCTCAACAAATACCCCAAACTCAACAAGATGGAAACGTCCTCCCTCCCAACCATCATCGGTGGGAATGTCCGGGTTAGAGATAATCTGTGTATAACTGCCCTCGGAGTCCCACTGGTCAAAATGAATGCCACCAAAGAATAACATTTCTTCAATGCAGCCTACGTCTATAGCCATATCATTGGAGGCAGCGAATTTGGAGCGATCCATCAACTTACCAGTTTCTTCTGATTTAGGCCGCGCAATATTTGTTTGTACGCCCGTGAAACAGACGTTGTCATCAGTTCCAACACGTGGAACATTGTGAAGTTCACAAGTCTGTTCGAGAATCTTGTATTCTTGGGGAAGTATTTGCTTGAAGATATCCACACCAGCACGAACACATCTCTGGATGCAAAATTATATCAGTTGGAAATGTAAAACAAAGATCACGAACAGTGACTATATTCTGACGGATTTGCAAGTGCTCCTTTTCCTTCTGGGATATCTCTCCACGCACTTTGCCTCCTACAGATGGTCCAGCTAGATTTCGAGGTTTTTGATGACCAAAGCCAACACTGAAGCAGCTCCCCTCTCCTCCCACCGGAACGGCTCGGTTTCCACACTCTTCAAATTTTGTACTTCCAGTACGAGTCCTTTCATCGCGGCTACCTAATGTTTCGTCCCGTAGTTGATCAAGTATTTTAGATAGATCGGAGTGCTTTCCACTAGAATAAACCAATAAGCGGCGCACAACGATGGACAAAATTTGCGCACGGTTGGTAAGCATACGCTTCGAAAGAATCGTCTTTATCGTCTCCCGCCCCATGAATATCGCGGAAAAATAGGATATCTCCCGATACAAGTTTTCCCCACCCTAGCATAATAATCAGTTCCGGACTATTAGATACCACAAACGACGCACCTAACGCCGGAATCGTAGCACTCCGACCTCCTGGAATTTTGACATTCTCTTTCACATAGTGGAAATAGAACTTGTTGTAAGCCCGGTCGTTGATTGGCCATGGGATCACTAGGATACGGTTGATCTCTGGTCGAAGCTCTTCTGGAATGCGTGAGTGAAAGGGGACCTCGAAGATGGCTGGAAGATATCGGTCCCTGGTCTCTGAGAATGCCAGTTTTTTTCCATCCTTCACAAAGTCAGTCGGAACG